AGGGTACCGTTTGGAGATGGTCGTTTTCTCCTTGTTTGGGGTTCTTCCAGAGCTTGCTGTACATATCTATTGCCCAATCTCAAGGTTGCGAATAAGCAGGGTTGTAGTAAATGTCTAAGGAGTGAGTTGAATTGCCTACCTGGTGCTTCCAAATAGATGGAGACTCTAGAAGAGGAAGGTGAAGCTGGTTTGACAATACATAGTGGTTTGGACGATGATGATTCGTGTCGTTTCAATACAGCTTCCAGAGGTTCGTCGACTTGACACTTGTTTTCAAATGAAGTATCTTCATATACTTGCAATGTAGCAGCATCAGTATCGGCCAAAGCCTTCTTGAATGTATTTTCAATGAGACGTTTTTTCAAATCATCAATGTCAGTGTTTGCTTCCATCTTCACTTTGGCTGCATCCATGTCTGGTACTGGATCAATGATATTGTTGTCACCTTTTTTAAATAACTTGACCCAGACTGTAGTTTCCATTCTAAGATCCAGTTATAAGCATATACGGCAAAAGCTTGCTTTCAAACAGAGCTTTCATGATTTTTTACGAAAGACAAGCAGAGAATCCTCAGAAGGCTCTCTTAAAGAGGGAGGGCGGGGAAACGCGTAGCGAAATATGAAATATGCTAAATGCTAGATTATGCTATCAATTATGCTAATTTTAATATTGCTAGCATACGAGTTAGTCCGAAACTCTTGGTTTTTTGTTCTAGTGCAGGATAGCTTAATCCGTCAAGGAACCCAACAATACATCTGATAAACCGATTCAAATACAACAAATACAACATATTCGACGCGTCAATCACGTCAACAACCTGTTGTCTTGGCTCCTGTCCATCTCCATCAACTTTCCAAACATCAAGGTGCAGGTCTCGTCAAGCCTTTGCTTTCAACTGTAGCAATCATGCGAGTTTTCATATTCAGCATACTAGCGCTACTGACCATTGTCAATGCTGTTAAATTCGAGTTATTTGCTACACCAGTAACGGGGACAAAGCGATGCGTGTCTCAATTCATTGGAAGGGATGTCCTGGTATCAGGCACGTTCAACATTGGCGACGGCGAACTCCAGATATCCGATGTAGAGGTATGTAGTGGAGAGTTATATTGGATTATTCAATGATTGAATCATCATGATGTTTTTTTGCTGTTTAAAATGTATTCAACATTCCACATACACTTTCATACCACTTACACTCAACCCCCCATAACCCAGATATCAGATGACAGCCCCGAAAGAAACAAATTCTTTTACAAAAAAGACGTATCTGGCACTATCAAGTTTGCCTTCACTACTCACGCTTTTGCAGACGTCAACTTTTGTGTATTAAACACCCTCGTGGATGGTATGTCAGGCTTATGGAACTCAAAATCGTTGTCAGTCGCCACGTTATTAAATTGTATCATGCACGTTTGTGTGGTGGTGTCTATTCTACTCCCAAACACAATGCATACACATTCACACTCCCACCTGTTATGCTCACACGCCACTATCTAGGCGTACCACCGTCTCCAAATACAAAGCGTCTAGTCAACATCCACATCGACTCGGGTGCTGACGCTGTAGACTACTCGGAAATCGCTAAACAGGAAAAACTAAAACCAATGGAAATCGAACTACGTAAACTGGAATCTGAAATGGACCGTATCGTTTCCGAAATGGAGTTTCTGAAAGAGAGGGAGGCCGCTATGAGAGATACTAATGGTGAGTTGTGGTAGGCTGAGCTGTTGAGTATGGGTGCTGTTGTCGGCGAAGTTAGTGGGAGATTGTGCGGTTATGGTATATACCAGGACATAGTGGGAGTAGGGCATTGTGCACTTATGTTGGAACTTGATTGGGCGGATGAAAATGGGAGTGCGGTGATGGCTGAAGTCATTTGATTCTTTCAAGATAGGCTTTCTTTTCGCTCATTCCAATGCATCCTCGCTTTCCAATTAAATCGTCCCTCTAATCATCCATTCCCTTAGAATCAACAAACGAACGAGTGAAATATTTTAGTCTACTCTCAATCACCACACTCATCTCGGTCGGTGTATGGCAGATATGGCATCTACGACAATTCTTTGCTGCAAAGAAACTCATCTAGAAAGGAGAGTGTTGTGTGTTCTGGGAGAGAGCATATTATATGTCGTGTTGCATTATTCGAGACAATATATTGGAGTTTGTATATACGAGATGGGACACGAGAAAAGTGAGCTTGAAGTTCAAGATGCTGCATGCGTGTTTGCGGTTTTTTTGCGGTTGTGAAACCCTGTTTAGGACAATTCTGGCTGTATCAACTTACAAGCGCAATCTGCTTGAACTCAACCGCTTACGTTTCATCCCATTGTACGGTCTGTAATTGAGTCTTGACTTGTGAATAAGCATTGGCTAAGGCTTCTTCTTCCTGAGCTCGTCCCTTTGCGTGCTCTCCTAATAAGTGTGAGCTCATCATAAGCTCTTTATATCAATGGCCATGACTTTGGATATAGCTTTAGGGCCACAAAAACATCGATATGGACCAGCCTAATGCCCTTGTTCCGTAGCAATCAATTCTACCAATGCTTTATTGAGCAGTACAGCAAACTGATCATTCCATTTGAAACCTCGAATAAGAATCTGTTTTGAAATGAATACGATGAGGTATGAGGCCATTGAGTTTGAAAGTTGGAGAGCAACATCCATGGGAGGAAAATAGGAAGTGCATTAAGACAGATTATAACGCACTTTTTGTGTCGAGGATTCCACGTGAATCCCTCAACTACTCTTTGGCGTACCACCACACTTATAGACAGTATTCGTTCTCTTCGCCAGTTTTCTACGGTCAATCAAAGGAAGGAGAAGATGCTTAGTAGCAATCCGATAAACTTTGGTGTCTGTCCACTTTTCTTTGGAAATGAAGTACTGCAATCTTCTCTTACGTTTACATTGAGGATTAAGTAGCACCATCATCTGAGTCAGGTTTCATATCGCGGGATCCAGGGAGATTCTGTCGAGACATTGAGAGCGAGGCGTCAGTATTCTATGTGAAACGTTCATGTGCATCCTTTTTTTCGCATTAGTTCGGAAAAGGTACCAATAAAGCAATCATTACCTCTACAGCCAGCACAAAGTCCTCCTTCCATACTATGCCTTCTAGAAACTTGTTACTAGTGTCACACTATTGCAAAGGAGAGAAGGTGAGCACCAAAAACCCTTGAAACGGCGTCGTATGGTTCTGTGCGTACATGCGACTGCTCAAGTTTTCGTCCGTGTTAAGGAGTGTAGTGGGTTTGACTGTGAAAACACAAACATCTTCTTCTTCATGAGCTCGTCTATTATTCGCATCACTTCCTAAGAAGTAAGAAAGCATTGGCTCGACTGGGGCAGATTCAGATGCTGTAAGTTGTTTCAAGCATTTACTTGTATACTTACATCAGCCATGTCTCGTAGTGACTCGTCTGATCACAGTGTCCCATTGAAGACATTGCAGATACTGATCTACATTCTCTCGTGTCGATACGGTTTTTTCCAGTCATATGAAACGGGCAACGTCAAATCCGTTTAAGCATGAATCGTCAGAGACAGTTCTCCTGTCAAACGAATAATTTAAGAAAAAGCAAAGAACTCACTATCACCAACACCCAAATTAAGCCCCGTAAACACAAAGGTTCCAAACCAATGCAACATCCCAACAATGCAAAAGCCCAACAATAAGAAACCCCCAAATTTTCCATCTTCAAATCCTTATTATTGATTGAAAACAAAACAGGAAGAGGATACAATCTTCTTCCTACTACGCTCCCTATCTCACTGACTCATTTGCTCATGCATCGGTCACCTCACATTTCTACAGTTCAGAACGTGCAGCAAACATAACAAACGGTGTAAACTCTTTCTCTCCAATCAACATTTGCAAATTATCTTCAATGGCTTCTTCTTGTGGTTGCGATGATGAGCCCATCCATCCTTTACCACTCTTGGCTGCTCCTCCTGTTCCACCTGATCCTCCTGCTAGTCGTGCGTAAAAAGATGTCATGATGTCCTTGATTTTGCGTTCCATTTTCGGTTTGATCTGTGTATTACGGGGGGAATTGTTAGAGGTTAACAAGGATTGGCTTACGCACAAAAACAAACCACATAAATCGATGTTTGTGAAAGCACCGAAAAAGCTGAAATCTCTGCACGATAGCATCAACCCCTCTGAGGCCCATTTCAAACGACTTGATCTCAATAATCCTCATGTAAAAATTTAAATTTACCTTGATGACCATAGCTTGGAAATCTGGTGGTAATCCATACCGTAATATGGATTCAACATTTAGTCGTAGCACTTTGATGTGTGTCCAACTTGCATACACTTCTCCGAAGTTGGTCTTGCATAATCTGACCAATGTAGTCTAACATGATTGATGTTAGGAGGTCGTGGTGACAACAAAAAAAGGGAGTGTGGTAAAATAAATACGGATGATGAAACTAACCCATTGCTCTTTCTCCATAGCAGTCAATTCACCCAATTCCTTCTTTGACAATACAACATCCTGATCATTCCATTTGAAATCTCGTACAAGGAATCTGCGAGAAACGAATTGAGATATAGTTCAATAAGTTGGGTAAGTTGAAAACTTTGAAAAGAATCGAAGAAGCAAAAAAATAGAAGGAGGAGTTGCAAAACAGAGAAATAACTCACTTTTCTTCCCGAGCATTCCTCGTGAATTCTTCAACTACTCTTTGAAACACCACCACACTGTATAGGCAGTATTCGTCGTCCTCAGCCAGTTTCCTTTTGTAAATAAATCCGGTTGGAACGTTGTTTGCATAAAAGCACTGTGTTTTTATGGTGAAATACTGGATTCATTTCTTACGTTGACGATCGTGGCACCACCATCTGAGTCAGGGTTTCATATCGTCCAATCCAATCCTTTTCACTTATTCTGTTGGAAGAGTAGTAAAGAGTTGAGAATTTCATTGGTGACATCTAGCTATTCGGTGATTTCTTGTCTGCCTTACTTTGGAACAGCTACCAATAAGGTAGTCAGGTATTCTGAATCCAGCACAAAGTTCTCCTTCTTTACTATGCCCGCTAGATTCTTTGTTGCAAGAGTACCACTTTTGAAAGGAGGGAAGGTAAGCCAAAAACGTGCTCACAATCAAGCCCAAACATGTCTGTGTTTGAATGCGACTGCGTACGTTTCCTTCCGTTGCAAGGACTGCAATTGAGTCTTGACTTGAGAATAAGCAACCATCTTCTTCTTCATGAGCTCGTCTATTTGCGTTACTTCCTAATCATAAGGTGTGAAAGCTTTAAAGCCAGATGCTGTAGGCTTGTAATCGTTTACTTACCTGTATAATGACATCAGCCAGCTCTCGTAATGACTTGTCTGTTCGATATTTCATAGTATTCCATTGAAAGCCTTGTAGATACTGTTCCACATTCTCTGTTTGTACAAGTAGACATTCTTTTGGTCAGCTACTTGGTTTCACGGGCTTTATGAAGTCACTTCGAATATCTTGCCAGTACATAATCTCATAAACAAAGATACGACTATCTGTCCACACTAACACCACTAAGATAACAAGCAAAAACTCACTATCACCAACACCCAAGTTATTCCTCCATTCGTCGACATCACCACCCAGCAAGCTCTTTAGATTATCAGATATCTTGATAGTCATAGTTTCAAATGTGCCATCTACTTTTGTCAAATCATCGGATAAGACCATTAGCGCGTCCAATGTGCCAATCTATCGCACAGTAATGTTACCGACAAGATGTTGGGATAAACAACAAGTATGATAGCATAAGATACGTGAATTTAAGATATGAATAATACCTTGAAATCAGGTAACGGAAATGGGAAAATCTCAGCGTAATCGACTGGTCTGTATGAAATCTTGTCTCGCAACTTGTTTACTGCGTCCTGTCGAGTTGGGTCGGATGGGATAGATACAAACCAATAAGTGGACGACATGACTTAATTCTTAATCTCAAGCTTCAAGATATACTGCTGTTTGTCCACTATCGGAGTCTTGTAATTGATAAAGCTGCTGATAAAAGTTGCAAGACTTGCAGGATAGGAATGATTGAAGTATACATAGATTACTGATGTCATGTTGATTTGGACTATTTGAAGCAGATATTCTCGCGTCTGTCGCGTCAGATCCGCAAATCCAGCCGATAAGGTCAAAAAACCTACTTGTATATTTGAGAAAACACGAATATCAAGAACATTACAAAATTTGAAGCTTATTGCTTCCTACGAGGTTGTGGTCCATTTCAAAGGGCCTTCCGTGTCCGTTAAAGCAGTTGAGTGATTCAAACACTAAAGTAAAATGGGACAGACGTGAATTATACTAGTTCACACAATAAAGCTTCAACAAGAAGGCTCGACTCGAGAATTTCGACGCACAAGGTGCGAACAGTCGTTACTGGTTCCCTACCTCGAATGCAGTGTAAACACTGAATCAAGTAGGTGTCCCAAGTTCGATTTCTGAAGAACAGTAACTGAATTGGGCAAACTGGACACCACTCCGTAGCTCGTGTAAAGCGACCTGGTTTGAGTACCTTGCTTCACGTGGGATGAATCGAAAGCGAGGATTCATTTTCGTAAAGAGAACCCTCCCCTTCTTTCGTTAACGCCCACTTGGTACGGTTCTACGCTCAAGACCATCTCCGAGGTACTTTTAAAAACAAGAAATCTATAGAGCAGGAAGTCCCTTACCATACTGGGCAACCGAACACGGCGTCCTTGACAATAACAAATATTACAAAAACGGGCAATTTGATGTCGACACTTGCGGGATGACGAAATTGGATGGAGTGGCTTGAAGCCGATAGCAGAGTGCCGTGTATATGTAGATCATGGATTCGTTGCTCCGACAGCCCTGAGCTTGAAATGTTACTCGATCAATTGGTTCAATCAATTCGAGAGCTCTATTACAGGCCAAAGGTTCATGTTAGAGGGGACAAGCTTGAAATTTGACGGTATTTTATTCGCAAGAGTGTCCCCTGCTTACCAGTTTGCCGCGAGCTCCACAGATCTCTCTCATCAGCAGCAGCAAACGCAAGGTAGTGGAGTTTGAAGATGTTGCAATTCAAGGAGACAAGAGGAAAAGAAACGCGTCAAATACGCTTTACATGATCCGAATTGAATAGTACAGGCCATTAACAAGACGTCCCTGCAAGAAAGATATAACGACTCACGTCAGTGGCTCGTTGTCTTCCCAATACCAATTCAGTGTGGAAAGCATCAAATATTTGCAAGATGAGTTTTCCATCGAGGACGCCGCTTTCTGAGCGATATGCTTCCACTCCATTACAAGGAAAAGGAATGGCTGGTATGCAACATTTATCATGTTTCGTTGTCTGTTCGATGGTTGAAGCTTTTATGACTGATTTCAATCGATGATAGGTGCTGACACATCAAGATCTAGCAAGGCTCTAGCTGGTATCGTTGACTTTCTTGACTGGTTGATGATTGACTGTCTTCATCAAACTCTGAACGAAACATCAACATTTCTGTAGAATTTGATTCAGTCTTTGCATCAAACTCGAAAAGGTATAGTCACTGTAGATTTACGTGTTGAAATGCATTTGGACTCATGTTCTTTCCTTGATAGAATGCGTCCGAGTAAGTTCTCTTATTCAAGATCAGTCGTTTTTACGTGGAAGCTCAAACAGTTACCCTTCCCTCCTTTCTTTCACAAAGTGGCTACTCCATACGCAGCCGCATCAACTCAAAAAGTACCACTGGTATCACATTGGTCGCATTGTCATTTTTTTGCATTCGCTCACACCTCTTCAAATCAGTCGTTACGGGCAGCCAAACTCAATCAGGTAATCTATCTATCTGCGGAACTAGACAACTATGCTGGAACAAATTAATTCTCACATGGAACTTTGACTTATAGCCTGCCAGACCTGTCGTATCAAGACCTCATGACGAAATCAACCTTGGAGATGAGCACGACACGTTTGCAATTTTGCTGGAAAGCGCTCCTGCAAATTACGAGGAATTGCAACTTGTGAAATCATTTCAAGAGTTTTGTGATGCAAGGTACTCATCGTGTCTCGGTTGAATCTTGCAGACATTGAACAATTTCTTACTTGGACTTTGGCTGATGTTAGGATCAGAGCGTTACGTAATGTAGATGAAGTCGATTCTGCTCGAATAAGAGCTCAAAATGAAGAAGTACATATCTGGGAGCTAGAACGACATACCTGGGATTTGATTCAAAGACTACTGGAGTATGGCGGGCTCATTTCGATGGTTTTTTTGTGGTGGTGCTCAATCTTTCTACACGTGTTTAATAGTTTTCGGTTGCAAGACGTCGATCACGACATGCAGGAAAATGGGTCAATTCATGCATACTCGGGAGATTTCAAGCTAGCTCAGAGGGCGATTGAATTGGATTCTCAGTTGCAAGAACACACTGTACGTGAGAAAAGAAGAACGTAGCATCTCTAATATAATTTAAAACATCCCGTCTCAATATGATATCAAAACAATTCTAGCTGGTGGTGAAATGGCTCGAAGACATTCTCCCTCCGTACCTGGGAATTGATGTGCGGCCAGGAGCTTGGTCTGCAACAGGAACGCATGTCTCATCCAGGACACCATCCGATACCATCATCACAGAGATGGATCCGGATGCTCCTAATCGACAAAAGAGGAAGCTGGTTGAGGAAGATCAGGTTTGTTATTGATCATTGGGCTCAGAAATCAATACTACGGTCTTCTTCAATGCTCATTCGTTGTTTAACCATAGACATATCAAGACGAATTTAATCGAGCCGTATTTGAATACATCCGCCGTGGCCAGTACGAGACGGCATATGATTTATGTGTTAGTTGTGGTCAGCCATGGAGGACTGCTAGTTTATTAGGTGTTTCACGATATAGAGATGGTGTTGTTGGTGAGTGTTTTGTCTACCAATCTGCTCATAGAGTGAATCTTGTAAACATTCTCGTTTATTTTACAATTGCTAGATGATCTTGAGCTGGAAACAGGTGAGGGAAACCAGAATGTGGATTTGTGGAAGGCAGTTTGCTACGCTATATCTTGTGATGTGAGAACATTAAAACGCTTTTGGCCTTGGACAGTCGTTTATACTCAATTGAATGGCATTTGTAGGACTCGTTTGACAAGAATGAACGTGCTACATATGCAGTCCTGGGAGGTGACATTCATAATGTACGTCTCGGAAATAGTTGAGCTCATGCGACTGGGCGTTCTTTTGTTCTTTGGGGCGGGCTGCATTGGCATCGCTAATTCCAACGTTTAATACATTATTTGTTTCTGACAGGCACTCCCTGTTTGTGAAACATGGGAAGACGTGATCTGGTTGCATTATACCATCCTAGTTCAACGTGGAATTGAAGATGCTCTTCGACGACAACCTCAGCCAACTGATGATGTAGATGCAATTACTTTGAGAATCCCTACGGAAGTCAAAGATGCAGCTACCATCTTTCTTGATCTGTGTAATGGGAGTCGACCCGATTTACGGTGTGTCATAAGTACACCTTGTTACTGCTGTTTTTTCGTTGTTTCAAAAAGTACGTTAGACTGATTCGAGCATTCTCTTTTGATCAGGGAGGTTGCAAATGAGCAAATTAGATTATTGCAATCCTTCTTCATCATGAATCGATTAGACGAGTACTTGAGAAAGCTGGTTGCCATTGTGTCGGATTCTGACATTCGACGCTCACTGTCCATGTAGGTGCCATCTTTTCGCTCGGTGGATTTTTTTGCGTGGTTTCATCTTTCCTCATATGATTTGAAAGAAGCCAACAGAAATGAAAACTCACAATGTCTCATCATCAAACTGGCAGGACCAAACATTTGCCCAATATTTTGAGAATTGCAGTTCACCTTGTTTTGATTCTTCGAAACACAGACAGACCCACAGACGAAGCTACCTCTGATGTTCTCATTCGGAAGTATATTCAGATGTTGATTGCTGGTGGACGGGTGAGCTTTACCTCCTCTCAAATGTTGCATTGTATCCGGGAGCTTATCGAATGTCTTTTTTTTTGTCATTGATAGCACAAACACATTGCACTCTTCACCAGCAACTTGCCACGAGAAGAACAAACCACTCTCTACTCTCACTTCTTGGCTGGTATGTGAATTGTTGCGTTGCCCCTGTCAAAATAATAGCGTTTTTAGACCCTCTCTCTTTTGGGTGTAGATAATCTTGAATCTCGAGAAACAAGGCATCAATACTTTCGACAAGCCTTCCAGCACGGCTTGGATTACCACCAAATCTGTCGACAAACAGTCCGAATCATACTTGAACGTGGTATATTAAAGGAAGCCGTTCCAACAGGCGCTACCAGCGTTGCCATATCAGAATTATCTGTACCCCTCTCAGAAGTGGATGCTGTCATGATTCGAGCATTGGAATGGGTGGCCTTTGAAGAGCAACAACGACAAGATCTTGTTACGTATTGCAATATTTTGTTGAGACGCTTCCTAAGTAAGCATTTGGCAGTTCCGGTGTGCCTCTTTGCGCACTTTTCGAAACTCACCTCTCAAATTCTCATATAGTACACGGTAGAATGAATGCAGCTAAATCAAGCATGCGTTCAGTGCCGCTACACTTCATCCCACGAGAATGGATTCCACGAACAGAACTCGGTGGTGGTGGTCGCGATGCCAATAAACCACGAACAGCAGTAGAATCAATAGCTGACGAGTATGTCAAGTATATGAATCTACTTGACGTGTATGCCTTGTATGCTGAATGGGTGATGGAATTCAATCGATTGCCTGTTCGTGCTGAATCTGCTGATGTTGATTTGGCCAATTATCTGAGAAGGGCTACTACAGATCTGGAGACCAAGATTGAAGCCTTGTTGGATTCTGACTGGTTTGATGAGGAGGATATGAAGGATAAGAGTGAGTTCATCCTAGTCGTTTTTAATGTTGACTTTTTTTGCCTTGAGTTTACTGACTCTTCGAGCTCTCGAACTCGTATCGTTTTTTGCTTCCTGATCAATTCAAATTTTGAATGATAGGTGATGATGTCAAGACGGAATTCCGTATCCTTCGAGACCTGTATATTCCTGAAGTGGTGTTTATACTCCATCGTATCTTGTTTGAAACTCGAGACATTCAGCCTGGGTACGAGCATACGAATTCCATGAGGGTTTCTTTGGTAGATTGCTCACCTTCTTTCAAATTTGCAGCAATCTGGACAAGAGTCTGCGTATCGCAGAAACAGTAGCACGACGTGATGGTCCATGGAAGGAAATGCAACGTGCCAACAAGCTAGATAAATTCATGCAAATGTTGCGTAACTCTGCCCTACAAGCACTTAATGGTCAAACAGCAACACCTTGGTCATCGCCACAAACTGTGTAAAAATGTATGCTGAAGGAGAGAGGTCTATTAAACTTTCAGTTGAATAAATTGTACAAAAATATGATGCAAGATTATAAAAAGGACATGGTCCATTCGAAATGTCTGCAAACATTGTCTCTTCATTTTACAATTCTGTCAAGAAATGTAGTGTCAGCTAATGTCAAGACTTTTACCTTTCAAGGTCCATATTGACTCTCTCAACGTGAAGATCATATGAATTTTAGTACAAGATACCACTCCGCGTCACCCACATTGTCTGTAGAATAACCAAAAGCTTACGTTTGCGTCGGTTTTGTTTTACGACCAAGGAAACAGAATCGTTGCGAGTGAGCTCCTCTGAACGTCCTTCGAATGGAGATGCAATCCGCAATTCAGACGTTTTAGACAACGCTTGCCAGCTCAGCACCTCATAATTGCTTGCATCAAACAATGATTTGTTAGCGACAGCATTGGTGATGATTCTAGAGTTGCCGCCAGAGAAGGGAGTTAAATCGTGCTCAAACGATGTATACAGATATGGGGAATTCATTGGAAAGGCTGCAGTTATCTAGCCCTATTCGAGTGCTTTTGCGCCAAGCAAATCCAAGGGACTTAAGATGAGTTAGTATCTTCAAGTTGACCTTCGGCAAATTTGCGAACACTGCACGATGAGCTGCAAAGAGCTAGTTCAGGCAGTCTACTTTAATTATAGTTTGGCAAAACGGCTAGTACTTCATATGCTTGTCTTTTTGACTTTAGAAAGCTGTCCATGTATCCACCGTTTAAGCAGTTGAAGCCTTAGAAACCTCATTAAGCATGGCATCGTTAGTGCATCATCTATTAGAAACCATAATCTTTCAATAACATTCTCACTGCGTGATGATTGCCTCAACGTACCTGGATCCAGGTGGTTTGCGGTGCAGTGTGAGATTTATTGCCTCTAGTAAGCGTCATTCCAGAAGAGAAATGATCCCAAAGAGGCATAATGTAAGGAAGAAAAAAAGAACTTGAAAGATACTAGTTCACAGAAAAAAGCTTCACAAAGGGCCTCGACACGAAAGATTCGATACAAGGTTCAAACAATCGTAACTGGCGTCCTTTCCTTGATGCAGCGTAAAGACTGAACCAAGTAATAGGTATCCCAAGTTCGAGTTCTGCAAAACCAGAAACGGAATTGGGCACAGCGGACACCACGCCCTCACACGACGTGGCTTGTGTGATTCAAGTGCCTTGCTCCAGTGGGATGAATCGAACGCAAAGATTTTGAAACCTCCTCAGGTTCGTCATAGTAGACTTCTTGGCTACGGTACTATGCCCAAGACCATCCCCGACGCTCTTTTAACACAATGAAACTATAGAGCAGGAGGTTCCTTGACATACTGGAGAATCACGAACACGGCGTCGAGTCTTGACAACAACAAAAATTACAAGAAAGGGCAATTTGATGTCAACAGTTAGTCTTTAATAGCCGACGATCAAACTCCAGACGCAACCTATGGTCATAACCACAAATCCTGTAAAAGTATGGTGTGAGAGAGCTTTATTACAGTATGGATTGATTTTACTGTACAAAAAAGTGATGCAAGATTATAAAAAGGAGGCGAGCTATTCGAAATGTCTGTGTTTTCAGACACCGTGTTGCTTTTTCAGATTTTCAAGATCCTGTGCCTTCTTGTTCAAATCTGTCTTCTTCGTAGCCTATAAAAGAAGAGGAAGGAGTGTTTAGAAGTGGCCACAGCAGGATTTCGTTCACGATGACGATGAGCATTCGTTTGGTTGTGATTCCGGGTGCAAACCAGCAACTTGCAACGAAACCTGCTACCCAACATCCTCAACACCAACAACCCACGAACGTACCTTCTGTGGCTGATAGTACAACACAATCAGATATCTTCCCATAATATTAAACCCCGATAAATGATCACAGGCTGCTTTAGCATCAAAAATATCTTCATAAACAATAAATGCTGTTCCTTTTGTATCAGTTGCATTTCCAACCCGTATTTGGCGTATAGGACCGTATTTGCCAAAGAGGTCATACATTTCCTCTGTTGTGATCTTGAAGGGCAGGTTCCTGACGAAGAGGACTCTATTGACTTCGGGTGGCAGTCGAACTGGTTTGATGTAAAGGAGGTGTGTTAGTGACGGTTGAGGAGAGTAGTAGGAAACGAATGTATGAGAAGACGGGCTCCTATACTGTTACCATTAGCTTTGCTCTTTGCTTGCATGGCCATCTTCGGATATATTTGTATCTTAGCCCTATTCAAATTGGTGTGAAGTTCAAACGCAGCAATGAAAAAGTTGAAAATTTCAGCAATACCAAAACACGAGAAAGAAACGTGAATTGTACAATTTATGTTCATGGCCGCATGGCTGTATCTTTTTGCAATTTCGCGAGGAGTCTACAAGGTTTTAAAACAATCTATGATACAATTCAAGCTATACAATCAAACCAAGAATCCACAGTTTCAAATGAAAAAGATCTTCAACGTATCCTTTACAGATGCGCGACAAATGGGGCATTTAATCGTCTTGAGGCTATTGGTTTGCATCACCTTCAACTTGTTGGCACAGCTATTGTAAAGAAGAGTAGTGAGTACGTTGAGGAAAGTCTAAAGCAACTGAAGAGTGCAATCTCACCATTGGCATACACATAAATGGCCACACGGAATCATTGCTACATCCTTATCGCTATCACAACAAATCACACATTCTTGGCCAGTCTCAGTACCTCGTTTTGGTCCTCTTGTTTCCTTATTGATGATGGATGATGTGTATTTTACTGTTGGTGTTGGTGGTGGTCCTGTTGGTGTTGATGGTCTGGTGGCTCTACTCGTCGCGACTGCTGCTGATGGTGATGGCGATGACAATAATGACGAAGTAGCCGCGGGTCTTTCAAGAGTAGTAACAGTTGATCCGCAAATGGCCCTTGCGAGTTCTGCTAATTGATTACTACTGGCTGACCTGACTCCAGAGACACCGGAGATGCGTGATGGTGATGACGATGATGATGATGATGATGATGTATGACTGGTTGAGATAGGACCTCCTAATCTGACACTACTAGTGGTAGCTGTAAGCGATGACAATCGAGATACTGTTGTTTGAGTAGGGACAGTGTAGGCGCGTGATGCTGATAAGTTGGCCAGTCGAGCATTGTTAGGCGCAGTAATCGGGATTCCAAAACCGAACGCTGGATTGCTACTCGGTGCGGAAACCGTTGGCCTACTACTATTACTACCATTGCCGAATTTACGACCGATATGCTTGCGTATACCTATGCTAGCTATACGTCTATTCCTAGGTCGTCCATCATAGCTACCAATCTCAAACAATGGCGCAGAGGTTGATATCGTTTCAGGATTTGCAAATGCGAAGGGGAGTGGTCGAGTATCGTTATTGTGGTGGTACACCCTAAATCCAAACATTCCAGCACCTCCAACTTCATTGCTAGACGGTGAGGCAGTGTTTGTCCAGGATGCTGCAGTTCGGTTACTATTGTTGCGACTGGCAGTGCTTATGTTGGGTTCATTGGTAGATAAAGAGGCAGAATTTGGCCAAGGTGGAGTACTACTGCGGTTGGGTGCACCGAATTGTACCGTTGTGGTCGGGAGAGGTGCTCCAAATGGATATTGATTCGATGGGCCAGGCAAAGTTGCACCAGGTACAGTTCCATTATCGCGTTGGTTGCCAAATGTGTTTGGATTTGTGAAGATGGTAGTGGTCTGTTGAGTCTCCTGCCTCCCAAAGACGTATTGCACCGGCTGTGAAATATCCGATCGAGATAATTCCTCAGTTAAAATACTTGTTCCGAGCTTCAAAAGTGAAGAGTTTGTTGTTTTTTCGCAACTCACGTTATTATTTGCACGAAGCATCACCAAGAGCACAGTCAGAAGTGTCAACCTATAAATCAGACTCTAGCTGGCTATATGGAGCCCTACTATAGCGTTTAATGGTTCCTTTCCAGAGATATTGGCACAATTCAACAGCCGATAGGAAATCAGCAATCTCAAGTAAGGCGCAGCGGATCTCTGTCTTTATTCGGTAGATCACGCGGTGTACTGTATTAAAACGAAGAGATCTACTAGAGCTAATATTATTTTATCATCTGACGCGAAGACAGTTTGCAACCGACTACATGTGCTTCACGGTTCGTACATTCCATAGAGGTGATACACCAGACATATCAAATAGAAGATATTTGTATCGCATTTACCCTTTTGCGGCAGATGAGACAATTTCGAGTTTGTGGTAGTGTATATTCATCTTGCACTATGGCCTTCACCACATAGCATACACATGGCATGCCCACAAGGGACGAGGGCACAATTGATAGAATTCCGGCAGGGAATCCGGGTCATCATCCATATTGAGAGTTTGGCACTGATGATCAAATTTCTTCTTGGTTGATAGTCTTGCAGGCCCAGTTCCTCGAGCGAGAGAAGTCGATATTCAAACATGTCAGTCATGGTTTCAGCAGAATCGAAGAATTAGTTTCCAGTGTCGTAGCCGTAGACCCCGGTGCTTGAAATGGGTTTTGTTAAAAATCCAGGAAGTGTGCTGGGATTACAAGTTGACCATCGTTGACAGTTGCTTCAAATTTTACAACTCCGAGTCCAAAAACAGATGAGCTGGGCCTGGTGATGATACTGGTGTTGATATATTATTAATGGGACCTCAAGCCCTGACTACAACCACCACTTGTGAATCTTCATTCCAGAGTGGACATCAGAGGTTTTCGCAATGCTCACTTTGGCATTTCACAAGTAATTGGTAGCTTGGTGGACTTTTTTCCCCATGGATGCGCTGCTGGGTGGTCAACGTGTGTTGTCAAGCTTTGATTATGGTCGACCATTCTTGGCCAGATCTTCACAAAGGATACCGATACATGTAGAGCGGCAAATGATTCTCGAACGCAAAGAGCAAGTCATGTTTGGTAAATTGAGTGTTGCAGGATTTGAATCAGCGTCCAAAGGCACAACCGATGGCAGCCTTGGCACAGCTACTCGCAACAAATGCGACTCCCATCCATAGGGTATCTTCGAGACGTGATGAAAAAGATCATCAAATTCGGGCCTGCGGAATCCATCAGCAGAAACAAATGCACAGAGACACACCGTGTATTAGTGTATGTGAGAAACGCGATTCCCCTTATAACGCTGTAGGGTATAATCATACGTGACAGATCTAGTTCCTTCTTCTCATTCATTTGATTCGGAAATTGCGAGTTCGCCACGTCAGCCGGTGGTCAATCAGCTGCCTTCTATCGTGGTTCAAAGTTCACACGTTGCAAATTCGTACCTACATAAAGAGCGGTTAACGAACACTCCCAGAACCTCAATCCTCATAATCAATACATAGTAAGTCACCAACCAAGTAAGCTTGTCGTCCAGCTTTGTCAAGTATTCTGATACATTCGACCTTGAAGTCAAACAAACTTGCAACTTTTCGAGAAACAGACAAGCAACAACAACGTCAAACTAACCCATCAACTCCCACTTAGAGATACTTATATAATAGAAATGGCTAGAAACCAACGTCGATCTGCTCCATCGCGTGCTGCTCCTTCTCGACCAGCATCTACCACATCATCACCCCCTGTTGCTCAACACCAGCAATCACACCCTGTCGCCCCTATGCAACAACAACAAAAGCAACCAGGTATGTTCAACTCTCGATTGCACCGATTCGATTCTCCTTCACTGGATGGCTCCACATTGCAGTGTTTCAGCTCGACAATGAAGCACTGGTTTTTGGAGGATTCAATGTTGGAAGAGACCTTATTTCCGAACACCACTCAATCATTACCTTGCTTTCTCGCAGGTCTATTCGCTCAAATGGCCACAACCGCTGCTGGTGTTGCCGTTGGATCAGCCGTCGTACGTCCTCTGCTTCTAAACCCTTCCATGACATCCCTTCCATTTAGCTGACTCCATGGTACCATTTCGAACAGGGCCATACACTAGGCGCTGGACTTTCTGGAATGTTTGGAGGTTCAGGTCACCAAAACCAACCTCAAGAAGTGCAACAACAAGCTCCTGCTCAACAACAAAACCAACAACAAAATAATGCATGTGAAACGGATCAACGCGCATTCATGAAATGTCTGGATTCAAACCAAAATGATATTGGTGCTTGGTAAGTCGCAGTGTAGTGGATGTTGTTCGTTCGTTGAAGGTCAATTCAATGTCATTTTTTCTAATCTGATTCGTTCTCGTTCTATAGTCAGTATTATCTAGATGCGTTCAAAGCCTGTCAACAAAACCAGACGTTGTACCGTTAAGTCTCTTAGGACTGAAACTGAAAAAAAACCGGTGGGCACTCCGAATGGAGTAGAGGAGAACATGTAGAGCTCATATAGTTATCAAGGATATCGTCATCAAGAAGCAATAAAGGTTTTATAACGTGTAAGAAAGCTTGTTTGCACTGCGCAAAGGCCACAAAATTTGCACATTTTGCTCACGTGTGGTCTTTTCATGAGAATGCAGCATATAGACTCGGACTTTCGTCGGTCGAAAGAGATCCGACCCATCTTACGTGTATATAGCGATTTATTTTGTTTCAGACGCGTAAAACAACCTCCTTCTTGTCGTTGGAAGTTTTTTTTCAATCAATTTTTTTTGGAACATCTTGCATCTTTTTTTCGAACAACACTCCCCACCAAAAACTCAAGCACCTCTTAATAGAATAGAGTATAGACGTTTATACAGCATATAGAAGTATAGAAGCTGGTTCAACACTTGAACAGCACATAGACTAATAAGGAACCTCGATACCTTCGCAATTTGATAATTTTCCCTCCCACCTCGGGCCAAACACTCTGCTCTAAAGCAAAAACTACACACTAAAGGAATCTGAAAAGAGCCATATGGCAGCTACACACTCTGCATCGTGAGTATCTCGCTCGCTTCTATGTTTGGATCTGCCACATGGCATGAAAACATTTTTTTTCTGCACCATCCCACTTACACTTTTCCCACCGGCTAGTGAAAACGCAATGACTGATTCGGGCGTATATGTTGGCAAGGATCTCGCAAAGGTATGCTGGATTTAAATCTCTTTTTCCTATATGCTTTTGCTTGCACTTTGGGCCACGTTGTGGAGAAGTTTCAACATCGATGTTCAGCATTTGCTGAGCGAATTTGATGGTGTTTGGAGAGTGGAAAGAATCACAGTGTGATGATCAAATATTCACAATATTAATGGACTATTTGATCGGGGCCTTTGAGTTACTCGACTGCATTATTAAGTTCAGTCTTCATGTGCAAACACGAGGGAAAAAAAGCACTCCACCGAACATAAAAAATCAAACCACACAAAAAAGCTTTCACCGTGTTAAGCTTGATCTCAATTCTATCAATTCTAATTATAATTTTTTCCCATTGCATATAGGTTGTTGATGGTAGCAAGGCTGTCTCAAACCTTGTCTCGCACATCATTGCCGCCACATCATCGGAATTCCGACATGCCAGTGCAAACGATTTGAAGGAGCTCATCCACGAAGGTGGCTGTGATCTCGTCCACAAGTCTCAAATCATAGACTCTCTACGTACCCACTTGAACAACCAAAAACAACCAGCTGCTCGTGAAGGCGCCTTGGTAATCATTACGTCATTATGTGAAATAAAGGCCTTGGAACCATACCTTGTCCCTCTTTTGGGCTTGGTTTTGGACCGTCTCGCTGACAAAATCAGGACTGTACAAGTAGCTGCTACTCCTGCTTACAAGGCTTTGGCTGACATGTGCAACCCAAATGCTATTGCTTCAGTACTCCCAGTTATTTATGAAAACATGGCCTACCAAAAGAAATGGCAAACAAAGGCTGGTGCTCTCGATCTCTTGTCTGGTCTCATAAAGTCTCGTCCAACTCTATTGGCTCCTCGTGTACCTGACATGATCCCTCTAGTAAGTGAATGTATGTGGGACACCAAAGATGAAATAAAGACCTTAGCTAGAGCTACCATGAACGAAGTCTGTGGCCTCATCATAAACAAGGATATCGAAGAATTCATCCCCGCTTTAATCGATTGTATTGCCCACCCCGAAAAAGTACCCGAAACAATCCACTTGTTGGGTGCAACCACATTTGTATCAGCTGTAGAATCACCCACTCTTGCCATCATGGTTCCTCTTTTGTCTCGTGCCATGACTGAACGTCGTAATACTGCCATCTTACGTAAAACTGCCCTCATTATTGACAACATGTGTAAATTGGTTGACCAGCCAGACATGGCTCGTCCATTCTTGCCAAAGCTTTTGCCTGGCTTGAAGAAGATTGAAGATGAAGTATCTGACCCTGGTGAGCATCATCTTATTATTTGTCATCTTTGCTATGTCCATATTTCTTTTGCGCTTTACTAACAAAATATCAATTATTTACAGAATGTCGAAGTGTCGTTCAAAGGGCTCATGCTACTATGTTGAAGGTCGCCGATGCCAAGGAAGATGGTACTTTCACTGAAAAGAAGGCTGAAAAGAAGGATGATGTACCTGCCATCATTGCTACTCTCAAGGAAGCCATCAAGGCCCACTCTACTTTTGAGGTAGATGCCTTTGCTGCTACCTCTATTGAATATATTGCCCACATGATCTCGTAAGTCCTTGTTTTTGTGACTAGTTGTGCAGAAAGGGAACAATCAGAATGCTCATGACAAATTTCCAATTTTTAGTGCCTTGGTTGCCATGAAGGACTTCGAAGAGGCCGAATGGACTCCATGCATTGTACCGTACTTGTCTGGCTTCATTTCTACAGTTGATGCTGAAAAAGTTTGTGCTGCTGCCGTAGTCAAGCTCGCCGGTAGTGGTGAAGACGACTTTGTACCTGAAGCAGATGAAGAAGAAGGAGAAGACTTGTGTAATTGTAAATTCTCTTTGGCTTACGGTGCTAAGATTCTCCTCAACCAAGCCGTCTTACGTCTCAAGAAGGGACACAGATATGGTTTATGTGGTGCTAACGGTTCCGGTAAATCAACCCTCATGAGAGCCATCTCAAACGAGCAAGTAGAAAACTTCCCTCCACCCACCGAACTCAAGACTGTCTATGTCGAACACGACATTGATGGTTCTCAAGCTGAAACTAAAGTAATAGACTTTGTCGCTGATGACGAACGTATCAAGGAGATGAATAAGACCAACGAACAAGTCGCTGCTACTTTAAGCTCTGTCGGATTCACTGAAGCCATGTTGAATGCTCCAGTTATGGCCTTGTCTGGTGGTTGGAAGATGAAGTTGGCTTTGGCTCGTGCTATGCTTTTAGAAGCTCAAATCATGTTGCTTGACGAACCTACCAATCACTTGGATGTCGTCAACGTAGCTTGGTTGGAAAACTACCTCAACAACTTGAAGGATGTTACTGTAAGTATCAGGTCACTTTTTACAATGTCTAGTGTTTTGCGTCCACCCTTGACTTGATCTCATTCCATCTACCTTTCGTAGTCCATCATTGTATCTCACGACCCCAGTTTCTTGGACCGTGTCTGTACCGATATTCTCCATCTAGACCGCTTCAAGCTCCGTCGTTACAAGGGAAACCTCTCTGAATTCGTCAAACGTGTACCTGAAGCTAAATCATACTATGACTTGTCGGAGACTTTAATTGAATTCCGATTCCCAGAACCTGGTACCTTGGAAGGTGTCAAGACAAAGGAACGTGCCATCGTCAAAATGACTGGTGTATCGTTCACATACCCTGGATTCGACAAGAAGATCATTGATAATGTATCCTTCCAATGTTCTTTGTCGTCTCGTGTCTCAGTTGTTGGTCCCAACGGTATGTTTTGTTAACTTTGTGCTCAGAAAATTGTGCGCAGAAACCAGTCTTTTAAAATTGAAACTAATCGAAATCGTCTTCACATCTTAGGTGCTGGTAAATCTACACTCATTAAGGTCTTGACTGGTGAATTGGAAGCTGATGGTGGACAAGTATGGAGGCATCCAAACTTGCGAATTGCTTACGTCGCTCAAGTGAGTATCTGTTTTTCAGTATTCTTGAATATCACTATTATGTTCATATTTCCCATGCTGATGTATTTCTCTTTATAGCACGCTTTCCATCACATTGAACAACACTTGGAAAAGACTCCCAATCAATACATTCAATGGCGATACGCTTTCGGTGAAGATCGTGAAGAAGCTTCAAAGATAACGAAGCAAATCAGTGAAGAAGAAGAAAAAGCCATGGCCAAGATACACGTTATTGGTGGTCGAAAGCTGCAAATCGAAGATGTCTTACGTCGTCGTAAATTAAAACAATCGTACGAATACGAAGTCTCATTCGTTGGATGCTCCACCGTCGACAACTTGTGGTTCCCACGCAAGCAACTCATTGAAGAGTTCGGTTTGAGCAAGAAGGTCAACGAAGTTGATGCCAAGGAGGCTGCTGCTGCTGGTCTTGTCAAGTAAGCTTGTCTTCTAAAAATTCTCCTTTTTTCCGCCTTTTTGCCTCTGAACGGGACACTTATTCTTGTTTGTTTTTTCTAGGCCTTTGACATCAAAGTCAATTGAAAAGCACTTGGCTGATGTTGGATTGGAAGCTGAATTCGCTACTCACTCTCACATTAAGGGTTTATCTGGTGGTCAAAAAGTCAAGTTGGTCATTGGTGCTGCTATGTGGATGAACCCCCACATGGTCGTCCTTGACGAACCTTCCAACTGTAAGTCAAACATTACGTGATATGTGTTGCTTTCTTTCATTTGACCAACCGCAAAATCAATTACTTTAGACTTGGATCGTGACTCACTTGGTGCCCTCGCTACTGCTATCAAGAACTATGGTGGTGGTGTTATTATGGTCACCCACAACCATCAATTCTCTGAAGCTTTATGTTCTGAAGTGTGGAAGGTCGAGAACGGTCTACTGATACCTTCAGGTCACAACTGGGTCAAGGGAGAAGGAGCAGTAAGTTTTTTTTTCGATTTGTTTCAACCCTCAGGCACTCGAAGTTTACAAATTCTTTACTCTCTTCTTCGCAGAGCAAACTCGAAGGCAAGGAAGCCGAAGATATGCATGATGCTATGGGTAACGTGATCAAGGTGGACAAGAAGGTGAAACTGTCCAACCGTGAGCTCAAAAAGAAGAAGAAGCTCAATAAGAAGAATGGTGTTGAAGACGATGACGATGAAGATTATTAAATCTGATGAAGGGTGGGATATGAGTAGAGAGTTTTTATTCGTGTGAGATCAAAAAATTACCTATCAGTGTTCAATAGATTATAAGTATTTTGAAATCCTGTGTTGTGTGTTTTCGTTTCGCGCTTCTCCTGAATAGGATGTATCAAGTTATTTGAATGCGTAAGGATACGCCCCACAACACGGAACCACGCAGTGAGATAGCTTAGACAACTTTCAACTATTCTTCGTTAATCTTTATGTTACATATTTGAGGGTACACAATTCTACTAAATGATGCTGCCTAAGATACGGTTGCGTTTTGAAAGCAGCCAGACGGCATGCTATTGCAGGAGTTCTAGCCTTTACTGAATACAGCTACAACGTTCCTCGTGACAACTAGAGTTTCTACGTTCAGCACGAGCAATGGCAAGAGCTTCTCTTTCTTTGCGTTTCGATGACGTAGGTATCGTAGAAATGGAAGCTGGGTACATGTTGCCAGGATAAACTTGTAATCGATTTGGCACTCCTTCTTCATGAGCACCGTTAGCTGTTTGAGATGGCGGCCATGTAGGTCCAGCAGCTTTATCATTATCCAGTCGAGACAAATATATTAAGGCATTTGAGATTCTCGAGACAGTGTACATCCAGAATTAACAATATTCCAAGATCGTTTCCCGAAGCAGGCTGCTGAGCGAGAGTGCCTGTTTATGATATGGGATACCACACTTCGGTCAGTGGGAAGGAAATAACTACCAAATGATGAAGATGCATAGCAAAATTCCATGTGTGTGGGTTTACATTTGGCTGCTGGAGATGCTAGAGCTTTCATGTGCCAACAGCCTTGGGGTGGACCAAATGCTCTTGTCTTCAGCTTGGTAAGTTCGGCTAGATCCCACTTTACTAGATCCACGGCAGGCGAATTTTTCGATTCAACTGGCATCACATCGACATGTCCTTGATCCGCGTCTTCGTGTTCTAGATAATCATCATTTTGATAGTTAACATTGCAAACCAAGTATAAACCCCACCATCCTCGACAGGAGAGGCTTTGCTGACATTTTGACCAAATCCTTGACGGTTTTGCATTATTATTTCGAAACAAGGTCAAAAACGCTGTATATCGAGGTTTCATGGCAAGTGGCATTGTTTGGTGCATTGTTCGTGGAGCCTATAGAACAATCAAGTTGGTTATGATGTTTGGATTTTCGTGCTGAGTTTAAATCATACACAGTCGTTGAAGTCCTTTTAGACCAGAGCACAAGCAGCAAGTGTGGCATAGGCGATAGATCCATCGAGTTTCCAGACACGTTCAAAGATGTGCTCCCAAATTTCATCGCTTATACCTGTTTGGTTGATGTCACCAGTAGGGAGGAGACTCTGTGGTGAAAAGAGGCAAAAAAGGTGATTAATTGGTATAATTAATAGCTTTTGGATGAAAAGACGTTGGCGATGCACTGTACAATGCAAGAGTCTCTCTCACATCGCCCAACTTGAGCTCAAACCTGAAACTTTTGCTAAGCGACAATTTGATCCTTTAGCCACTATTGTAGAGCATCCACAACTGATGCAGGCCTTTAGAAAATATATATCACGGATCAAATTGCCGTGGGCAAGGCAGATTCTTGTTGGTGAAGACTTGAAAGGAAATCTATATTATGAAGAAGACGCTGGTAAGTGCAAATGCAGCGTGACGCTTCTGTAACAAGTCTAATACTCAAAATACTACTCGTAGGTGGTCCAAAAACACGTCGAACTGTGGTCTGGGCTGACAAGAAAAAAGTGATTGCTTGTCGCTTTTCTGCTCACATTCGAAACCACGTTTTCTGACGTCGTCGTCATAGGAATTCAATGATTACGATCCTGCAGACTTACCAGGTACATGCAACGATGATGAACCTATTGAAACAGTTGGCCCAAAGCTCAAAGCTACTGTTTCATCGTCGCTCTCAACCACTTGAGTTGCATTTCTGAACAAAGCATCTAGCTAACTTGTATTCCTCATAGTGGAATGGATTGCTTTCTTAAGACACACAAGAAAAGACGCTCCTACTATGGAGGAACTGAGGCGGAATGAAGAATATCGAAAACTATTGGAACAACGAGGACAGTTAGCTGATATAAAATGGCACGAGGAGATCGCACGTCGACGCCTTGCTAGTGCACAAGCTGTACAACAAGGGCATCCCGCTGTTGCTGCCAGCAGCGAACCAGAAGCAATCACTCCAGAGGAGCCCTCGAAACCAACAGAATCTGATCCACAAGGTCAAGGAGAAACATTCTCGCCTGGCGCATGGGTCCCTTCAAAACCGCGTAGATGAAGCTGTAGGATTGCTGGATCTTATAATATAACTTTATTGCTGAAGTAGAATGATATCGACGTCGTTGTGAGCGCCTTGAAGCAACATTTCTCCCTTAAAGTCGACCACCTTCCTCTTTTTAGCTGCTCGTAGTGTGCCGTTGAGAGCTACCAACGAAAGAAGCTGGTAAGTATGACAGCAGCCAGCGACACCACAACACTAACGATGGAGGTCCAACAACTCACCTTCAAAGATGTTGGAGGCTCGTTCATCGAGGACAATTATACCGAACTTGACAGAGATCTTGTTGTCGTATTTTGCTACGTAGACAGAGTGCGATGAACGAGCAGGTAAATTATAACAACTACAAGATGGACTTACGATCTGGCTTTCCGAGTCTCTTGATTTCTTCAACCAGCTTCGAGATTTCTTCGTCGACCGACGCCATAATATAGTGGATGTAGTCAATCTTCAAACTCAAATCCTCTCTACGGCGTGATTGTGATTGTTGTTGTTATTGGGCGAGAAGCGAGACAACCACAACGAAACAGACAAATAACGCGACGTTATATCGAAGGTCGAAGGTTTAAACGTTTTAACCTATTTCTACGTGATTTGGCACCCCTTCACTGGGAAGCTCATTTGGTCTCTTAGTCCTGCTAGTTTGAATGACAATATTTACGCTCGGACAAAGACGAAAGAATAAGCTGCCCTTGTTGATGTCATGAGATTCTAGTCAGACAGGTTCATATCATTCTTTACTGTACCATTATAACAAACCTCGTCGTAATCTGGAGAATCCGGAATGGAGCAGAACGTCATTATGTCTCAGGCAATCGAGACTTGTCGATATCTCCCATATCAAATCGAGCTTTATAATCGTGCTAAATCAAAGAATATTGTAACTTGCTTGGATACAGACAGTAGCGAGACATTGATCAGCATCTTGTTGATGCAAGATGAAGCTCAAGACATCAGACCCATCTCTGTACAGGAGCTAGGGAAGGCTGCACCAGCTCCTCCAGTAAGTGGTGAAGCTCTGATTTTGGTATCTTTTATTTGATTAGATGCGTTCTTCTTCCTTGTAAACACGTTGCCAAAGCCAACGTCAATTCGTTAATTCCATCCTCCCTTTTTGAAGGCTCTTCATGATCTGGAAGAGGGAGAAATGGAAGCTACTTCTCAAGTAGTCTTCAAGCTTGATGTTCTACCAGCTCAACCCAAAAAGATTATCTACTTGGCAACAAATAACACTCTAGTCAACGAGCTAGCTGAAAATATTCAGGCTGTCACGGAACTACAAGTAGGAGCTTACAATATGGAAGATATACATGATACCATACTGTCCTTTCACGATATGACGAAGCGTCATGTCTGGGTAATGGCTCCTGATGTTTTACTCAAGCTGCTAAAGAATGGAATAGTGAACTTGTCGATTCAAGTATCACTAATTATATTCTACCACCCTGATATGCCTCTATGTACTAGTATTATACAGGAATTCTATCTTGTCATCCCATCATCGCAGCCTCGACCAAGGATATTTGGAATGCTTGAGACACCTCCTCTCACAGATGCGCTCGCAGAACTCGAGAAGGCATGGGATTCTACATTCATTTCTGTGATAGATGCAGTACCAAATTCAGTCACTCCACCTCAGGCCACAGAAGTGATAATCGAGTATGACCGTCCCAATGCCTCTCGTGATGATGCTTCTTCGTCGATAGTTGGAACGTATTTTAGACAATATGAAACCTCATTTGACCAGCTCGCTGCTCAATACACAGCTTCAACTGATAACGCAAAGGCGGCTGCAGTACACAGGCAACTAGTATCGGTCAAGGAGTTTTGTCAGCAGCTGGGACCATGGGCTGCTTCCAAAATCGCTCATGGCTCGTATCGATCCCTTGTGTCTTCATCGTCGGCATCAACTGTACACGGTGCCAATAGTTCTGGCCGAGGTCGCAAACGAAAATCTAATCAGCAAGATCATCAACCCAGTAAAAAGTTGAAGTTGGACGATAATCCCCTAACATCAACACCATCATCATCATCTACTCTCATCAATAACGCAGTGGAAGATGACGTGAAGGAGCCAGAGTCGGAGCCGAATGCTGTCGTCAGGATACCAACCGTTCCATCATACGCATCTGTGACTGATGCCGACTATAGTCCCAAAGTACATGCTCTTATGTCTGTTCTCGCATCACGTGTAGACAATGCCAATTTCCGATGTATGATATTCGTAGAACAGCGGCCTGTTGCTAAGGTCTTGTCCGAGTTGCTCAATTCTGCATCGGCAGTACGGTTTCCGATGTTACGAACGGGCTACCTGATTGGTCATAGTGGAAACTCAGCAACGTCGTCGTCGAAAAAGGCTTGTAACGAAAGCGGCTCTCAAAATAAAATCCTCGAAAAATTTCGAAAGGGTGAAATCAACACTGTGGTTGTGACTCGACTGCCTGACGATGGGACTGCCATGTAAGGTCAATTGGTGCTTTCGTTTCTTTTCTCTTGTGAATTCTAGTACTACAATTCCCAATTTTAGGCCAAAATGTCGACTTGTTGTAATGTTTGACTTCAACAAATCTCAGCTCGGTTATGTGGACTCTCATAGAAAAGCGGCTGATGGATCCCAATTAATAGTGCTGCTTTACAAGAATGATTTACAGTCACGAAACTTGCTCAAGAACCTCCAAACTATCGATATATCCACCATTCGGGACGTATCTGTTGTCGCAAATGCTATATCAACCACCGTTACAAGACGTAACGACGATGATCAAATCGCAGCTACACTGGTGTCTGAGAATGAAAATGTGCTCTTCACCAAAGGTGGAGTACTCGCATGGGCTGACAATGTAACGAATACTCTGACGGAATACTGTGAGTACTTGAAGACTCAATTCAAAGAAGACATAGGCGACTTTGAGCCTGTGCTCAATATCGCAGTCCATGCCTCGTCTACAGATGATGAGTGGCAGAAATATCAAGAGGCTCGTGCATCACAAGAGACCACCAGGCAGCATCTGGTAACAACGTCTCTTCATAAACGAGGTACGCTTGTATCACCTACTACGGATCCAATTCGATTTGGATTTGCTTATAAAGTACATCTTCCGCGTGGTGTACCGACTGGATTGGAAAGCACTGTTGGTCCAATAAGAATCAACAAGAAGTTGGCTATGCAGGCTGCAACTCTGGAAGTAAGAGATTTGAACGTCCTGGTCGTTTTTGTTTGCGTTATCAGACACTAACCTTCTTTTCGCCTTTAATAATAGACATGTTGTCGTTTGTATGAAGTCGGTGCTCTGAACGAGCAATTACATCCCACGTCGAATGTCGGTCGGTATAATGCCCTAGTGTCGATAAGACGCTTCTTATCATCCACCACTACAGAATCTTCAACAGTCTCCAAACAGTCATTGGAAGTGTCCAAAGAGCCAATAAATCCTCCGCTGCCATCAACTAGCAAATCGAATGATGATGTACTGCATGAGTATGAAAGAGCATTCTCTCGTGTATTTGCTTTCGATGAGTTTTGGGAAGGCATTGAATCTAGTACACCACCAACTACAGAGACGTCGTTTTATGTGACATTAATCAAGTTTGGACCAGAATTGGATGCATTTGTGTATGACAGAGGTGTACCATTGAAAGTTGCCGACACTGCAGATGGCACTGACCTTCTTCGCTCTGTCGGTATACTTACCCGTCGCCCTCTACCCGCTCATGCAATCCCACCGTTTGTAATATTTTTGAATGGTGCTGATCCATGTCGTGTTGATGTAGCAAATTGGACCTCCGGTCAGGTATGCATAGAGGTGTTCTTTCCTTTTTTTGGCTTGTCTCATTTCAAAGACTTGCTAAGCGACTACAATTAGGAATCCAAAACCGTGGCATTTAGTGCCGCAGAGATGCACCAAATCAGATCTTTCCAACAATACTATTGGTCGTTTCATCACAAAATGGCTACTCAGGATGCGTCAATACCAGTCGATCCTCGACATTTTATGGTCATTCCCTTCTTGGGCTCGCCCAAGTCAAATACTAGTACAAAGTGGATCCCATCGTCACAGTCGCAAACTCGGAAGCTATGGCCAGAACCTGAGAGTATGGCTCCAACACGACCTTGCGACTGGTCTATTGATTGGGTCCTAGTAAAGAACGTGGCAGATGGTAAAGAAGTATCTGGATGGGAATGGCTGGTGCTAGCTGGTCGTGCATTGTCTGATGGTGACATTGAACCGCCTGCCAAAATAGCCCGAGATCCTCAAATGAATGGTATTGGTCTTGGACCAGGTGTACAAAATGCAGATCACAATGGTGTTGAATCGCCTTTTGATTTCCTGTTTGACAAGGTGTATCAGAGCCGCATCAATATTGTTGACACGACTGTTGATCCTACAACAACATTTTCTCGTAATGTAATTGAACAAATCAATGAGCTTTTAGCTCATGTCGTAATCGTTACACCGCATAACAGGCAACCATATTCAGCGGTATCAATGATATCCTCAGTGCATCCAAAATCGGCCTTTGTAAATAATCGAGCTACGAGTGCCTCTATGGTAGATCCACCCATTACATATGAATCTTACGTCGCTAGTATCGGTTATAATGTCACTCATCCATCATCGGCCATGATTGAAGCAAAGCCGATACCAATCTTGCGCAATATGGCCCATCCATCCGTCAAGTTTAAACGTAGAAAGGAGAGGGCTAAAGATCATGGCAGCACTCTTGTAGTCCCCGATGTTGCCAAAGTGGGACCTATTCCAATGGAGCTTGTTCGAATTGGGTCCATCATTCCTTCAATCATATACAAGGTACAGCAGCTTCTTTGTTACCCTTTGTTGATCCGAAAAGTGTAAGTGCTAAAATGATTGCATAACTTTAGCTGGATTTGTATTGCTTGATGTACGAATTTCGAGAACGTATGGGTATTCCCGAAACTGTTAGTCTTGGATCTCTCTACACAGCCTTTAGTGCCCCTTGTGCTCACGAAGCTACTGATTATGACCGGCATGAGCTTCTTGGAGATGCGTTCTTAAAGTTCGCCACCAGCATGGATTTGTACATCAACAATCCGGCATCTGCTGAAGGAGATCTGACGAAGAAACGAATGAGTCTGGCATCCAATATTCATTTGTTTGAAAAGGCAATAGAATATGGTAATTAAATACTGTACAATAATCAGTTTTCAACCAACTAAACTTGAGCTTTAACTTCTAGGACTATCAGGACTGTTGATTGTAGATCGATTCAGCCCGCGAAGCTGGTCGGCTCCAGGATTCAAAGCCAAGGTTATGGCAGTAGACGATTCAGAGGCTGATTTCGTACAATCTACTAGAGGTTGGCGATCTCGCTCTATATCTCAGAAAATGCTGGCAGACTTTGTCGAGGCTTTAATTGGAGTTTGTTGTGTTGATGCCGGGTATGAAGGTGGTCTGAGATTCCTTCATCGTCTCGGAATTATATCAGAATCTGCCTTGAAGCCTTTGGAACTTAAAATGCCATCCCCTAAAAAACCGGTCTCAAAGTCTGCTGGGTTGGCTAGTACAAATTCTATGAATGTAGATAGTGACGTGGTAGCTTCCTTTCCGTACGATGAAATTGAAGCCAGCATCAACTACCAATTCCAAGATCGTAGTGTGCTCTTGGAAGCATTCACTCATTACTCTTATCGCGAGCGAAAAACTCCATGCTATGAACGTCTGGAATTCCTCGGTGATGCTCTACTTGATTGGATTGTAACACGATACTTCTTCAACTCGTATACGCACCTTGATGCTGGTCGTCTCTCTGATTTGAGAGCAGCTACAGTCAATAATGATAGCTTCTCTCTCTTGGCTGTCGAACTGGACTTTCACAAATATGTCATTCATAGCTCTGCTGGCGCCAAACGAGACATTGATACATATTTAGATTATCTCTCCAAGCTTGAAGCCAGCGGTGGATTTGTTGGAAGCGGATCCACTATCACTGTCGCTAGTATTGTAGCTGGAGCTCACGGAAGCGGGTTTACAGCACCGAAAATATTAGGAGACTTGTTTGAATCTGTGGCCGGAGCCATTCTCGTAGACTCTGGTTGGGATTTGGAGGGCACTTGGAATGTTGTGAAACCTCTTATGTCAAGATTCATTGATGAACATGCAACTCCTAATGAAGTGAACAAGCCTGCTGTACGTCAAATCCACGAGTATTTCCAAGGAATTGGATTTGGTGTCAACGATATCGCCTACAAGTACGTTTTATTTTCGACCTGTTTGGAAAAGTCCAATTAACATTAAATTGTTTTTTCTAGATACAGGATGGATGAAAAGACAGGACAGCATGTTTGTGATATTGTCTTGTGTGGTGACAGGATAGTATTAGGCTCTGGAAACACAAAAGTATCGGCAAAGAAGGCAGCTGCAACACACTGCCTTGCCTATATCGAGACTCATCACGAGGAACTTGCTCAAAGGCTCGCCGGTCAAGCACTACTTGTTGATGACAATGGTGTTGATATTAGGAGGCCTTCCAAGTCTGTACAGAAACTAGACGACACTACAGGCAACGCAAATGCGAGTACAAGCAATGCCAATGAGCAGCACAAGCAGGTGAACGTCACCACATCAGCGGTAGCTCCTCCTCGAACCGCAACAATCCCAGTTTATCAACTACCAGCCTCAGTTGCAAAAGATCAGAGGGTGGCAGCACTAGCTATGACATCCACTCAATCAAATCTCACCTCGCAGCCAGTGAGTCACGTAAACGCCGTACTTCCAATAGTCAACCCCAATATAGTACAACCACAAACAACAACTGAAACCCCCGCCCCGGTAACACCCTCATCGGCCGATATTACTCCTCATAATCTGTCGAGTTATAATGCAACACAGCTGCAAGAGTTGGGTAGATTGTTTGTACAGTTGGTTCAAGCTGGAGCTGTGACAATCTCCCCTCTAGCGTTGATTAACATGGGAAGTTCTTTATCAGGTTTATTGAATATCGGACCTTCGGCCGCTGCTACTACACTACTCGCACCTCAACCTATTATGCCTGTACAGCAGCAACAAGCTCAGCAAATGCCAATAAATGTATATACACCGACGGCACCTATAATGTATAGTCATCCTATGATGCCACCGGGCACGTTACCTCCACCTGTGAATCATACTTATATATCAAATACTGCAGCAAGACTACCATTTCCAACACGGCCTTGGATGACACCACCACCAATGGAAATGTTTCCTTTACCACCGCCAGGATGGATGCCTCAATCTATGCAACCACCTCATATCTCACCACTCGCTCCACCGACCTACAACATTAACGGGTCTAGTAGTCATGGTAGAACGCCACCACCATCAATGACAATATTGGAACAGCCACCGTCAAATGGAATGAATGTCAGCACTCCATATCAGTCAAATCGCCCATTCTACGCTCCTAGACGTTATAAAACAAACTCATTCCGCGGTAATAGCAACAACAAACGCAAGTATGATGACCCTGATGATGATGGTCGATGGCCAAGTGCCGATTGAGTGTAAACACGTTGTCAAAGAGAAAAGAAAAAAATAAAACAGTCGATAAAATTGAAGTGGCGTTTATAGACAACCGAGAAGTGGGTGTGGCTAACTTTCTATTGTTTATTGTCACTTTGTATGTTACATTTCTGAGAGTGCATCTAGGAATGCATTTGGTGCCGCATATGTGTTCAACTTTACCTTGCCGTGAGAGCATCCAGACGGCATACTATCCCAGGAGTTCTATAATCGAGAATTACGTGCTGTGTCAGCTTTGGTGCATTCCTGCTTAACACCTCTTCTTCTTCACATTCACTGTTAGCTTACGGCCATGAAGTTCAAGCAAGTGGATCAAGGGGTGTTTGGTAGTGGGAACTGTAAGAGGCTGGACGACTGTTGTACTAGTTTGATGTAATCTCATCACGATTACTAGGTTGTATTATTGCTGCTTCTACATTATATTCTATTCTATTATACTCTACGAAAGAAGTCGTTCTCTAAGTTTATCAGCCATCTCGCCCAGCTCACTTCTCCCAATCCTCGACTGATCACACATTAAAGCGATCGTGGCAGCTCCATTAACAGTCACAACCCCAAACTCAAACGCCTGTCCACGTTCTGGGTGCTGAGTCGACACCAAATACACATTAGATACCGCATATTTAACATCCAGCTTATACACCCCCAAATTAGATACAACAGCACATATAGGTAATCCGGGCGGTTTAGACAGATCTGGTTTCGGTTCTGGTTTGGTTGGCAGGAATGCGTAGATGTGGTGGACAAGACCATTGGCTACCCAGTACTTTAGTGTGGCTGTGATACGTTCCAGAGACTTGATCCCGTCTAGCTTTATAGGTACGAGCACTGTAGAATTGTACGCCCCATTCACTGCATCCGTAATGCCCAGCGATGCTCGATTGTCCGTCGCAAATACCCCAATTACTGAAGCGCATTTCGTGTTGCGTTCTTCACACATATCCTGGTATGCCTCAGCTGCCTGATACATGATGTAGCTAGATACTGTAGCCTTGTGCTGTTTTACTTTGGATATTACATGTTGAGTCTCCTGGGCAGTAAGTGTCATATACTGCAATATCGACTTGGATTCCACACTAGCTGTCGTGGCAGGCAGCATAGCCGGTTTCTGCACTGCCGTAAACCAGAAGAATGAAACGACCGTCCACCAGAAGCGCACAGAAGACACGAGAGTCGATTTAAACGGCTTGATGACCGCTGTTGAAGGGGTTGGTTTTGCTTGCTCGACACCATTGACCATATTGACCAATTGTTGAAATATCGCCATTCCTATCGAATGAGAGGGTGAGAAAACATATGCCAATATGATCAAACACACAAAGGACCCGAATCGTCCAAACACTTACCAGCACGTCCGTCAAACCCAAAATGCGGAAACACACAAACAACACCACTAACTGTTTCAGCCCCATCATCTCCGCCAGATACAACTGCCACAATCCTCATAAACGCCTCTCCATCAAGCTTGATTTCGTCATTCAGTTCGTCTTCGACAACCAGACTCAATGATGCAGCGTTCCTGACGACTTTGATGGTGATCTGTGGCCACGGACTGGTTTCGACGAATGTATATCCACTTGGACTAGATGATGACGGTTCTACCTTACATCGGAGAAGGTCGTTGGTCTCTTGAAGCTTGAATGCACATTGTGTAAAGTTGAGGGCAAGATCCGGTTGATGGGGCCAGTTTACATCTGCAGCGAGGGCGAAATTGGTATAGTGAGCCTGATAGATGTATGAAGCTTCCTTTAAAGAGAGCGACCGCATGTCTATTCGATGCCTGTTTTTTCGTTTTTATGAAAGCAAAGTCCCGAGTTCTCTGTTAATTTTCTTCCACATTATTTTCCCGACAAACTTGAGGACCTGAGTTATTCAAAGTACAATATGGAATATATATTTGCTAGTTTTGCGAGAGGACTTATTTACAACCATTAGATGCCCGTGTTTTGCAAGCTAAAAAAGAAAGGAAACGAAAAAATACAAATTCACACACTACAAACGAAGGTCCTCCAATATACGATTTGCTATGGTCTTGTACAACCAGATATCAGCCCCTCCTATACGTCTAAACTGCACTCCGTGAAGTCCCAACCATGGTATTTTTACGATGAATACTTCAAAGCGCACAGACAGGTCTGGCACTGGAAGTGTAGCAAAGGCTACAGAAGATAACGGTGGTGATCCATTATGGGTATCATTTACTGCTGTTGTTATAGTTGTAGCCGTTACATTCGTACTGGTATTGGCACTAGTCATGGTTTCATTATCTTCGCTAGATGGCACGAGTGGTTTATTATCGGTTCCAGTAACTCCTAATCCACGTCCTGCATCAGAGACATCAACGCCTCCTTGTGCCATAGCATCGTCAAGATGTTCATGGTTTAATACAGCAGGTTGCTTGGTCATCTCTGGGCTAGTCGAGATTCCATTGACATCAACACTACTTAGATCGACGTATCCTGGTGATGGTGGGCCGTCACCATAGAATTCATCGTCTAGACTACTATTACGAGATTCAGGTCTCCCACCATTTTCAGGTCGATGAATATCTTCTGGACCTGAAAATCCATCATCCGACATATACCACGCATCCCGATCATCAAGGGTTGGATCACCTTCACCAGCATTACGATTCGGTCGTAATTCACCATGAGATAATGATGCAGAGGGTTGATCGTCAATGTCATTGTCACTGTGCATACGAGGCATTTCTAAATCTCCAGCTGCACTATTTGGATGTCGTTCACCATCATCACCTCCACGTTCTCTAGACCAGAATGCTTCTATACGTTCTCGATCACGTTGTCGATTCGCTCGACTACGGTCTCGATCACGTTCACCACGGTCTCGAGATCTAGCTCGATCTCTAAAACCGCCTGTACCTCCTCCAAAGGGAACCCGCTCACTTAATCGTTGAGCACGTTCACCCATCTTGTCACCGAGCCGTTTCCATCTGGACTCTTTTTCCTTTTCACCATCTACTAGACCAGTGACGGAAGGTGTATATTCACAGCTAAATCCACCACGATATTCTTCAGCTCGTATTCCATTCATGGCCAGCACTCGAATGAGGTCGTCGCGAATGACGGATGCTGGTTTTGTGGATGTGTTTTGCACTGTAAATAGGCCTTTAAGATAGACAGGACGTACATGTTCATCTGCACGACCTTTACGCGGTGGTAACGGTGGTTGATCTTCGTCACCATTCATATGACTATTGTCGTTGATGTCGTCATCATGGATATCGATTTCACCTTCTGCTAAACGGGATCCAATTCCTGACGGAGTGCCCAAGTCTGGTGATAATACGTCAGCAGCAGAATCATCCAGCTGTAACCTACTATGACTATTCTGTCGTTCAGTCTCATGACCTGGAAGAATATGTCCAGCTGGCGGCTCTGTTATATCAGAAGTGGTGGCAAGTAGAGGTCGTGGCGGTAGTGGTGGAGAAGATGTAGATGCTGCTGCGTCGTCATCTGGAGTATCTCGTTGTTGTCGGAATCCAAAGCCAGGTGTTGTTGGGTTTCGGATGATTTGTCGAGTAGCTGACTTTCTACGTGGAGTGCTGACATTTCTACTACTACCACCTGTAGTGCCGTTGGTGGCAGGACTATTACTAGAATTACCACTCATAGCACCATTCAGTAGAGTAGCACTTCCAACACTATTTCCTCGCGGCATGGTTCGAGATAAGCGGTTCAAGTTTTCTTTACGTTCACGGCGCTCTTCTCGTCCAGCATCTCTACCATCTCGTACATTCTTCACGGCAGATCCCAGCTTTCTAAATGCAGCGGCGGCGGCAGCAATTACTTTAACATCTCTACTATCTCTACCATCACCGGATGGAGCTGTAGGTGGGCGACCATCTTCATCCCATCTCAAAACCGAGCCCGTTGAATTAGATCTTGGTCGTCCAGGCGGTGATCCATTTGGATCATTCGATCTGGCCATAGAAGGAGACGTTGGTGCTGTGTATGTATACTGAGGGCTGCTAGTATTATCTGTAATGAAGCTAACACTTGGTTTGGCCTTCAGAATACCCACGCTATCCCATTCCATATCTTCTGCCGACTTTATGGGTGGTTCGTGCACACCCGAATCTTCATCTCGTCGTTCACGGTCCATTTTTTCCTTAACCAGATAATATATACTCGCTAAGGGCGTTTCTGGTGCACGACTATGATCTCCGCCACCAAATGATTGCTTGGTCGATAGACCACGAGTCACTTGCTCTTCAATGACGGTTCGAATATATTCTGAGGATCCGAATTCAAATCCTTTCATTCTGTCGATGACTTCAGAATCTAGTGGCAAGGTCAATGGAACTCGATGTGGTAGATAATTATCGGGTGCTCCATCATAGCCCTTCACCATCCATGGATGTGACTTTACTTCGAGCATACTTGCTCGTTGACCTGGATGTGTTACTAACATTCTTGATATTAAATGCTTGCATTCTGTTTTCGAACAAGAAGCTGGTTAGCAAACAATTGAGCAAAAAAGCTGCAAAGCCAGTGTGGTCATCACCATTTGACAAGTGAGAAGGGAACTCGACATGTCCAGCCTTGATTTTTGAATGTAATACTGGCATACTGGTATCATCAAATGGCACACGTCCGCATACTAGAACATATAATATTATACCCTAATAGAAGTAAGATTGAGCGAGGAAAAAAAATTGCTTACTGTAAACTGATACCCTCATACCAAGCTCCATATATCCACTTCTGGGCCAGTATACGCTCTAGCATTCAGCAATTCAGGAGCTGCGAAATACAGCGACCCACAGAATGTCTGTAGCTGCGATCCAGGTGAATATAGATTCGATAGTCCAAAGTCGATAAGTTTGATATTCCCCAGCTTATCAATGAGCACGTTTTCAATCTTGAGATCTCGATGCACTATGGAATTCTGATGGCAATAATCTGAAAGAATTGCGTCGTGAGTCAAGAGAAACCAGGACAAAAAAAAGCAGGACTATAGCACACACCAACGGCTGAAACAATCTGCCTCACAAACCGCCTAGCATTCTTCTCCTTGAGCTTGCCATGCCCAATTATATAATCTAAAAGCTGGCCACCAGCGACATATTCAAAGAACATGTAGTAGAACTCATCCAGCAGGACAACTTCATATAAAGCACATATATGAGGATGACGTAGTAGTAGCATGATGGCGGCTTCTCTGATTATACGAATTTCCTTGCTGATATTCTTCGCATCATCTGCTGGTCGTGCTGGTGACTTCGATTTACCACTGCTGCCTATAGGAGGTGATCGGGGTGGTTTTGATTGGTCCATTATACCTGCAGCTGGGAAATCGCGTATTGAGCTCGTTGGGCCAATTGATATTGGTTCAGGGTATGGTGTAGAGCCAGCAGGGCGCGGTATGATCTTGCATGCCCTCTGTGTTTGTGTAAAAGAGATTAAGGAGGTAGATCAGCATAATGTTTCGAAGTTTGCGAATTGCGATGAAGGACATTTAAGACCACAGCCATGAAAACTGACCTTTTCTCCCGTCTGAATATGAACTGCCAGCTTCACTTTACCCATTGATCCAGCTCCAAGCGTCTTTGTCAACCTGGATCGTGCATTGCGAAAGTGTGAATTGCCGTTCTTTATTCACATAGGCTCACACAGCCCGGCTGCTATCCAGCTATACTCAAATTGATAACGAAATGAATGCCCAAATGTACCTGTAATCAGCAACGACTTTCCGTGGCCTTGCTACATTTTGTACAATCGACGAGGCCAGTGGTTGATGTTGTTGTGCTAATGTCGATGAATGCTGCGATTGTGAGGGTATTGGAGGAATGGCAATGGCAGGAGCATTTGCGATAGATGCGTCTGCGCTAGCAGTGGGTAGTGCTGGCTGCTGCAGTGACCTTGTTGGTGAAGATGGTGATTGCTGTCGTTCGCCTCTGTAGTCGTTGTTGGACTCCTTGATAGGGCTAGTTAGGACTCTGTGAGGTCGATGTGCCCCATACCGATCATTGTCCATATCTGCTCAGTCCGTTTCGCTGGGAGGTTTGGTGCTTGTGCGGAAATCAGCAACGAATGTCGTGACAATGTGACGGACTCTACCGGTTAATGACACACAAGTCAAAGGATCTATTGCGATCGTCTAGCTTCTTAGTTCTCGAGCTACTGACCGTGTACTGCACGTAAACGTGAAGTCGTGGTAGTTTAGCATTCACATTTGTAATTATTGCAAACTACTAGACCATTTATTATTTAAATACTCAACAGTCGTAATATTATCTTCAGTCCATTTTGCTTGTCTCGATTGTAACTTCTTCATATCCAGCTAACACGTCACCGGCTGACGATGTCTTTCCTCTTACATACAAATCAAAGTGCTGGCGCACTGCTTTACGCATAATAGAGTTGATTCGTTCTCCATTGAAACGCGTCACTCCTGCTAGCTTTGAAGTTGGTCCGAACAATCCAAGATCTGTAAAGTCGTTGTGCTATGTTTGCGTGGTTAGTCAAAGCGCACTCAACGGCATACAGCAAAAGCAACCTACCACAGCACCCTTAATCCACACCAGTTTGGCAGAATCACTTTCAAGCCTAGACTTAGTACCAGATATAAACGTCCTAGCATTGGCATCATTATCTCGACTCCACGGTTCATTCCAGCCCTTGTTCTCAAAGGCCTGAAGTAGCAGGACCGGCACCACACAACCAGTCTCCTTCACATTAACAGGAAGAGGAAACATCCACGCATCTAGACCAACAACAGCCTTTACTCCAGCTACAGCTGGTCTCATATCATTACTATTGCGAGATGACGGTCCAGTAACATTTGTTGTCGGCGTTCCTCCTGATCTAGCCGGTATAGCCGCTCCTTCTGCTAATCCACCACATGCAAGAGCCGTCGCTCCACCATAGCTATGTCCAAAGACGCCAATCCTATCTAGATCCAGTCTGCCACGTAAGAAGATCCCATCAGCGCCCAACCCTAGCTCTCCCTGGTCTATCTTAGACAACCTCGCCAGCACGGTCTTTATATCATCTACTCTAACACCGAGACCCGCCGACCTTAGCGGATACATTTGTTCTGCAGTCGTCACATCAGGCGGTGCCTGGGAATTTGCCGGAAACCTTCGATTACTAAACGGGAATATCGTATACGATGCATCATGCGTGTGGTCCATAGACACGACTATATATCCGTGCGACGCTAAATCTTCACAGACACAGGTGTCCTGGTCAAAGAAACCTCCAAATCCATGCGAGAATACTATAATCGGCATGCGTCCTCCTACTTCAGCTTCTCCTGCGACAGGCAGCGGTCTATTACTGTTATCTAATAACGATGCAGTTCGGGCTATGCCTATGTGGTCCAGAAAGTAGTGCGGTATTCCTCGTTTAGATGCTTGGAAGGCCAACCTGACGTCTAACGGCGGCACGAATTTACTTTTATGTACTCCAGATGCCTTGGCTGCTGATGAGGCTGCAGGGTACCAGATCCTGACGTGCAACAGTCTTGGTGATGCACTAGTTGACCATGGTTGTATCCTACAAAGTGTGTCTTGTCAAAAAAACTGCAATTCCCAACACCACACGTCAAATACTAATCACAACTCTGACAACCCTACCACTCGACACGATCCGGATCCTCCATTTCCAAATCAACATAACTAACATCTTTGCTTCCCGTCACCTTTGGCAAAGCGATTGCAGGAAATGCAGTAACAAGCACCGTAGAAGCAGCCGCACAAACAATCTCTCCAGCCGACAGATACCTCACAAGATCTCTAGCTGAAATCTTGGACTTGATTACTGCCAGAAATGTTGAAAATACCACTGGATACAATTGCCATCTCAAACCCTCGACAAGCGCCTGGAGGAGAGCGGTAATTCCTAAAGGAAGTGCCAGAGCTTTACTTCGGAGAGCGCTTATTGCTGCTACTGCTATAAGGGCGCTTTCTAGTGGTCGTGCCATGGTGATGATGAAATATCTATGTGGTTTTGGACAACATGTTTGAGTCGCTTGATCCAACCGTTGCTGAGATATTTTGGAATGAATTTGATGAATTTAAAGTTATCTGGATGCTATATGCTTCATTTCAACCGACGTTCGAAAAACGTGACACGTCATTCAACTGCTATACTAAACTGCTAACTAAGAACCGCATCAACTTGTCTTTAACTTGTATACTATTTTCTCCCACTGCTAACTACATAATAATGCTAACTCCTCGACGACTGCTCCGCCGACGACTTCTCCTCAATAGTCTCATCAATCGTCAACGTCCACCTGGAATCAGGCACACCAGCACCCTCCTTCCTCTTAGCCGGCGGACTCTCCTCCGCAATAACAATACTCGCACCAGCTTCAAACCCTTCCCAATCCTCCGTATCATATCTCGATTTCACAGCATCCATATTCCCATTACGCTGCCGTCTCTGCCCTCCCGTTATATTCCACCCCACGGATTTCTCAATATGCGATTCAGTAATATCTGGCTGTGGTCCTTTGGGGCCAAGACGGCGTGACGGGTCTGTAGACATGGATTTCTCGAGTGCGGCCGTTACTTTGTGGTCTTCACGATTTAGGGCCCAGCATACGAGGGCTGATCTCGCTGTATCGACCGAATGGGTGAGGACGCTGGCGTCGAAGGATGTTATGGGGGTGTATGTGAATATGATTTTGAGGGTTATGAAGATCTGTGTGTGGGGGAGAGATGTTGTGAGTACGTGGGTAGACTGGGGAAAAGGGTCTTGAGAACGTACCATGGCAGCAAAAACCCGTAAATGCTCATTATTCCTCAACTGCTCAAATATGGCAAACGCATCACTTGATTGTTGTGTTAGCCCATGTATGAGTAATCCGAAAGTAACTGCTTCAATGATTGCCTATTGGAATTTCAACGCAAAAAAAACTGAATCAGTCGTGGATAATTTCTTTGCAACAAGATTAAAATCCACACCTCAATAGTATACTGCTGCTTGTACAAGATAGGGTACTTATTCCCACACAGCCCCGTCGTCAAATTAATCGAATCGGTCGACATGATAGTCCCACTCAGCACCAACAAAAAGTGCACTGACACAGCAATCCCGAAAAATACTTGAGCAGCACGTCGAAACGGTGTAAACAGCAGCAACTACCCCAAAGGTCCACATATTAGTAGCCCCGCAAAACTCTACTCACACCAACAACAACGAGACATACCTTAACAAGCAACAACCCATAAATCGCCTCGACAGCCACAACCAAAAACACATTCATCATCCACGCACGTGCATCACAGTCCAGTCCCAGGATAATAGCATATATTGCCGCAGACAGTGTCTTGATCAGCATGGATATCGCCTGGAGTGCATTCATGACGTAAATCACCCATGACCGGGATTTGCGTTTACGGTGGTAGAGCCGTAACGCGTCGATTACGACTCGGGTTTGCCAGAAGACGGTGCAGCCCCAGAAGAAGGATGTGAAATTGGATTTCTGGAGATCGGAGAGTGTTACGGTGGAGGTGAAATCTAGAGTGGACATGGTTTGCGTGCCTTTTTGGGCAAACGCAAGGTGAGTAGCGAGAGGAGTAGTTCTTGCGCACAGAGAGCGGGGTACGAGGAGAGAGGGGCGAGTCCGTGCAGTGGATCGCAGTTGATTTGATTTTTTGCCCCTTACGGATTCGCAGGACCTTGGCGAAAATGTTTTTGATTGGGCCGGAAAAAGTTCCGACATCACAAACCACATACAATCTCGCATTTAAACAAAGTTCTTGTAAATGACCTGAGCATGCAATCCATAAACTAGTCACAACCAATCCGAGTTTAGTTCTGAAACGTTTATATGTGCAAAGTGTGCGAAAATGAAATATGATATTTCCAGCGTACGACTACTTGTGGTGCAAAAAAACCTCCCTCTCCCTGTGCTTCTCTAATACTGGTGCTTTCTCTCTCAATACGGCATGTACGTTTGTCCCGTCGACGACTGACCAGTAAGCTAAATTGAAGGGCGCATAGTAAATATTCACGCTTGTGCTCATCAAACCCGAAAAACCAGGTGACAAAACCTGAAGCTTCGGCTTACTTGTGACAGCAGTTCCTGAGCTTGTGACAAAGACAATCCAGTCACAGGATGTACAGCATTTGGAGATTTCGTTCTTGACAAGTCCTGGATTGTCCTGTTTGCTTGATCTGACATCCAATTCCATTGCTGGTTCTGTTCTGCTTGTGACGATGAGGAAAATAATGGTTGTTGTCGTTGCTGTTGATTTTGCTGTTGCTGGTGTTGTGGGCTGCCTACGGTTTCGAATCCATGCTCTTGGGAATGGATCATGGGCGATAAGACGATGCAGTTATCACATAATTCATAGCCTGGTGGCCTTGGACATGTTAAACATCTATAGCGAAGACCGGCATATCTTTCACTAATTTGGACAAAAAAAAAAGGATTTAGTTGTATAATTGTCACATAACAAACGATGGCTTACCTCTTGCAATAGTCACAATTATACCAAGTAGGATCATTAGATGGCGGTGCCGTTATTGTTGGTGATGATATGTTGGATTCGTTCAATGTAGGTAATAATGGAGGTATGAGGACGAATGAGTGTCCGGGATGTACTTGTCCCCTCCGAGGCAAACAATTCTCACACAAATCAAAATCGCATGTATCGTGCGAGCACCGATATCGTCGACCTGCGAATCCTTCCGTGTTACAAACATCACACCGTATCCCTATATTCTGATAATCTCCCGCTTGGTTGTTTGATATCATGGCTGCTGGTGATGTTGCTATTGTCGATGCGCCCACGTTCGTTGTTGGAGCGACATAGGCAGGAGGCGATGGTATGCTTACTGGAGGTGGTATGGGGGATGTTGCATAACTTGCGGGTGTGCCTACCGCTATATACGATGATGAAGAGGGTGGCAGTATTGCAGCTGTTGATACAGGTGGTGGTGAAGAGGATGATAATGATGCTGGACTCGGTGTTGATAGTGGGGGTAATATCGTGCCTAAACTGGCACCTGCGGCTGGTGATGCTAAATCTGGTCGGAAGGATACGACCGTGAAGCTATGTGAAGGTGGATGGAAGGTCGAAGCAATACTGACACATGATTCACTATAAAGTGATGTTTCGTGTTAGTATGTTTGTTTGCGTTATGTCATGGGTTGCACAATTTGAAGTGAGAAACTCCGATTTGCTTGTTTCACAATTTACCATAGATCAAACCCAGGAGGACAGGGACACGACCGACATGTATATCCTACGTAGAGTGTGTCAGGACGTGTGCAATGCCACAAAGACCAGTAAAAACAGGTGAAGCTCACTTGGACCACAGAAATTCCGTCTAAAGCAGTGATCGCACCAGAATGGCGTTTCACCTAATGGCCTCTGCGTGGCCTCACGTTCCTTGATGATACTCCAGCGTTTTAGCTGATCGGCACTTGGAGGAGCTACAGCTATGTGAGGCTGTATCCAGTACATTTCATGCCATGGTGGGTGCATGTCGGCAGCCCTAGCAGAGCATGATGGGCACAAGTCGTAGCCCATGCCATCTTCTCCGCCACAATCCTGTGTTGGAGATATGTTTCATCAATAAAATGCAAGAAGCGATGATAGTGTCAGCAGGACGTAGGCTAAGTCGCTCTTGGAGAAGAGGGGATATTGCATGGATAAGGGACTTACATGACAATGTAACCGTACGCTCTCCTGCAAAGGGTAGAAGTAGTTAAGACGCAATTTGTCCAACCGAATAACACGAGTTGTTTGATGTTTGATTTTGCTCACCTGGATGGCAGGCTTGCCACATCTAGAGCGATGAATAGTGGTTGATTGTTAGTTCACTGGATATGAAGAGAATGGAGTATTAGGCCATGGCGTACCCGTCACAGGATATGGATTCAATGACCTCCTCTTCGGCAGCAGCATTTCTGAGATGAGAAAAGGGCATAGTCCTCAACCGCCGCTAATCTGTATGTACTGCTAGGTCAATGTGCTCTCCCTGTTCACGCTGTCCCCTTTTGATTACACTATTTAAGCCTTGTCTCCACGAAGGTGATCTGATGTGATGGGTCGAAAATTAACGAGAAGCCCAAGCGTGTTTGGTCGACCCGACTTGGAAGAGTTTAAGCTGAACCGAGTCCCTTGCCGAAGCGACTAGACTCCTCTCATGCAACAACAATGGCATCAACTACGACTACGCCTGCTGCTATCTCGCGTTGTGTCGTCCAGCAAGTCACTCTCGCTGAATTGGTTGTCGACTTGACTGCATCGCCCGAGAAAACCGTTTCCGTTGCAAGGTATTGTCAAGAAAAGCCTCACTGTCTCAGTTGAACACATCGTTTTGAACTAAACAGAGTCTATTTGATGGGCATCGCAGAGGCATTCTATGTTTTATTACATTCTTGCAAGGAGCATCAAGTGCTGATCTCCCTCGAATCGGTACTTCCTGGTCAAACAATTCCCAACATCTCAATCTGTAACTTTTGTCACATTGTCACATAACAGTGTCGGGGATTGTGAATGCCCAAATATGTCCTGTCGATGGCACCAAACCAAAATCAGTACTAGACGCCTCTTGTGACGTCTTGATAATACCACAGGCTTCACTTGGTGGCAAACTTCGTGGGAAGACTGTCCAGCAAGTACCATGTTGTTACCCATTACATTCATACCCAAACTCATACCGATCTTACACCAAAAACAGGTATCATTCGAACGCCAAAAAGGATGAATCGGAAGAACTGTATCGTCTCTTTTGTCTGGAAATGATTTCAGCTATTGGTGACAAGGCAACCGTCAAATCAGGCACTTATGGGGCTCTGCAAGTCATTAGAAGGATGGAATCGAATGGACCGTTTACACACATACTGGACTTTTGAAGGTTTCTCTCTGTTTGGTCTCTCGTTACAGTCTACATTGTATTTAAATGCCGTTATCATCAAGTATATCTATACAAGACCTCTTACTGCAAGTCGAAATATGGACCTCTAAATAAAGCCTGATTTCTTCCTGTATTACTACAGTGCCAAACAATTTGTGGGGTTTCCAATGAAATCGTCTCTTTGACCAACCAGCTCCTTCGGCAGTTAAAAATCATGCTCAGAACTCAATGTCGGTCATGCACCAAAACTAGTGTTGCTGGCAAGGAATATGCTAGATGGGCGCTCAGCCATCAACAGTTATCACATCAAATCTTGTTTTCCCAACAAAGCTCATGTGTTTTGTCTCCCACTACAATGCTAGAGTGTCGGGGTGAAAGAATACCAATAGGCATTGCTGCTGTCGCTGGTACCATGGCAACACATGGACCATGTGCAGGAATATTTGTTGGAGCCGATGGATCCAGATACCTGAAACGTCGAGCCATCATAGCTTGAGACTAAACACTGTTCCAAATATGGCGATTTGAGGTTAGAGTGCACAAAGATTTACTTTCGGTATGAATGTGCTTGTGTTATTTTCCAGACAAAAAGATGCCCAAAATTGCACATGCATAATGATGTTTTTACTTTTCATATTTCTCGCAAGGGGCATTCGTGGACCATTTTTTCATATTGTTTAGATCTTCGCCACCCACATCCTACATTTTCGTGGATGCAGCAGGAAGTGATAGATAGCATAAATGATTTGTAACCCATTTGATGATCTGCTGATCTGCCGTGACCTTTCTGCAATACAAGAAAATCAGTGTATTGTTCGTAGTCATAGGTTTCCTTTTTGGCCTTTGGATAGAAAATTTCTCAAATGAACTTTGTACACAAATAGGCTTTCAGGATCTTCTCTCTATTGTGTTAAACACTAACAGTCCACTTTGCATCCAAAATGTCCTTCTCCAAATCATAAGTCAAAATCAGGACCATCCAAAAGTGCTTGACTTCCTCCGATGTGACTATAATCCCACACAGGTTGTGGCCGTCCATAATAATCATCTTCCTCTTCGTCCTGTTCGTCTTGATAGTAATCTTGTTGTCTCGGAGGCGAGGATTGACGAACGGAGGCGGAACCGAGTACTCCTGCAGAGTATACGAGTCTTGATGAAGCGCCGAGGATATCGGAGGATTGGGATGCTGACATTGGTCTGAAATGGGAGGATGATTCGGTTACGCATCGTAGCCATGCTGCGTTGTGATGTCGGAAGCGTTGGCGGCGTATGCGGGCAGACCATTCAGCGTCCGTTTCCTGATTATTTGGAGAAATAAGGATGAGGAAATGTACAAGAAAGAAGAAAAATAGAATACAAAACCGATTTACACACCCCAATGATGTCCAGACAAACATCACACATTTTCCGAATCGATGCATTTCGGTCATATAGAAGGTCAATGAGATACGAAACAAGCTCTAAATTAAGGTCAAACGTTGTTACGATTCGCGTTAAACCACACATCCAAGATTGAGACCTACGTGTCCGTTGCAACAAGACTGTTCGCGAACTTGGATGCAGCAGGAAGTGATAGATAGCATAAATGATTTGTAAAACCATTTCATCGTCGTCTTCTTTGGCTATAGAGACAAAGGGTTTAATTCAGAGCAAAAACGACGTCAAAGGTGCAAAGAGCGATATGTCCGATGAATGTAGCTCTTTTGAAGCTACCAAACTCACCAATCATCAAATCCATAAGCACAGCCAACAACCCTCTCTGTTCAGCCACCGCAACAAAATCATCATCAGCTGCCATACTGCCCACTAAACACACATATTCCAAAGCTATATCATCGTCATTGTCACCATGAGATCGATTCCTGGCTGATGTAGTCAGCCGGGGAATAATCATGTCTAGCAGGTTATACGTTTCACACAGTTTCACGTAGTCGAATGATGGGATGGATAGTGCTGATAGTGTTCCCAGTGCTTCCACAAAAAAGTCGGACGTGGGCGGTGATGATCTGAATAGGGTGTGGCATAAATCGTCGACGAATTCCTGTGCATAAAATGATTCAAGTCAGTGCCCGATGTTTCCATATCGTTTTTTTGCTGCTAAAATAACAAGTTACAGCACATACCAAAAACGCAGTTTGCAAATGCTGTCCTCCACAGACAGCCAGATTCCTCACAACCTTCATCAAGAAACTGTCCCGAGTCTTTATGGCTCGTCGCATTAAGAACCGTAATCCACCATCTCCGACAAATATTTCAGCACATGGGCGATGCGTTGCCATGTTACATGCTACAGCGGCAAGCTCTATTGGGATGCGTTCTCCTCGAGACTCTAGCATCTGTTTCATTATCTGAATCGTTTCAAAAATTTGATGTGAGCGCAAGACGGGAAAAAAATCAGTTAGCAAGTAGTTATACCGATCTGACGGTTTCCTGCCCAGAAAACAGATTCCTTGCAGGCATATCGATACTGATTTGGTACATGAGCTGCATTGAATTTTGAGCGTGATTTCTGTCTGCTGAGAGTTTCATCAGGCAAGTAAGCATATTTGGGTTTGCTAGAACCTGTCTGAAATTGCCATCGTGCGACAAATTCAACAAGAGTCGTAAAGATAGAGTGGTCAATCCCTATGTGTTAACAAATGTTAGATTTTTGTAACAATCTGGAAATACCAAGCGAGCCTTACCTGATGAGCGTAAGTGAGCAGTTTCTCAAGTTTCGACACCAGTTCTGAGCCAGACTAAAAAAGATGATATGACAGATCTGAATCAATCCACGGTCCTGTTGATTGCACAAATCACACAGACCCACCTGCACAAGTGCATCCTTATTCTCACGATACACACTCAGCTTCTTTAAAAAGTTGAGGGATAGCATTGGAAGTGCTGGCGATGTTGAGGCAGTTGCCATGTTACGATCTACCAAGAATGTCAAGTGTGGAATGATTCCACGTCGAACCATTTTGACTTCAATGGTAGGATCTTCTGCCATATTTAGTAGTAGGTGCACCGAAGCTAGGGAATGACAGAAGTCAGATATCATTCAAAATAGAGTGTGACAGTTTTGTTCGCCTCTACCAAACAGGAGCTGATCTTGTTTTCGAATCAGCGTCTCATGACGCTTTTGTTCTTGCTCTAACTCTGAAGCAAGTCTTGGATTCTTGGATGCTATCCGATAGACCAGGTTAATCGGGAAAAGGCCTTGCTGTCGCGGATTCAAGGGACGCACCTTTGGCTCGAAGAACACCTAATTCCTCCCTCCACAAGCTACACCTGGCCACTTCTTGATCCACAACACGTAAACACGCATCTCCGACTTTATGCTGAGTCAAGACTGGATGAAAATTGGCAATATTAGAAATGGCGTAAAAGATGCTGATGATGCTGGTGGTCAAGTCTGTCGATTTTCGTGCTTCTTCTCGAAGGACACGTGCTAGTGCTGACATGAGAGACTCTAAAACGGGGACATCGTTAGCGTAAAAAAAATTAGCCAACGACAATCTTGTACCATTGAGTACAAGAGCCTCAAGACTTTGTCGGTTTTGTGTGAGCTGAAGTATAAGTCGGGCAGCACGAATCTTGTCTTGCATTTCTTCGTAGAGTAGCTCAATGTAGTCGTCTACTCGATCGAGAGTTGCTTGTTCCTGTTATATCAAGGAGCAAAAAAGTCAGGCGCTGGGAATGAATTATGAGATTAACACATCCAGCGTACCTGATACGGCGATGTAGGTGAAGTTAATGAGGGAGGTGACATAGGGTCATTGGAACGTAATTGACTGGATCGCCTTTGCAGGGATTTGTCTACATCAATAGAGTGTTGGCTTTCTGGTGGAGGTTTACAGTTCAAACCACTTTACAGGGGTGTGAAGCAACACCCTCTTTACCTGGTAATGCTGGTGGTCTATTCTGAAGCTCGAGGATTATGGATTCCAGAGCATCTCGTTTGTTTGACGGTATGAGTTTGCAGGAGCTCAACATCTCTGACGCCAGAGCAGAAACTGACGAGTCCAGATTCGGGATTGGAATACTAGAGAATTCAAAAATATAAGTCCAGCTGTTAAAAAGTTAAAATCCACATTCTTCCACTGTACATTTTCTGTCTCTCCTTCCTTTCCTGAGTTTCAGGTTGACCATTATCGCCCCGGAGGGTCAACTGGACGAAATACGTGACTATGATAGCATTATCTGTTGGGTGAGGGTATAACTGACCAGCCGTCACCTTTCTACAATACAAGAAAATCAGCAGATTAGTGCGAGATCTAGTGAATGACACGCAAAATGAAATTGTCGACAATGGAGGGCCCTACTTTTTGAGCACGTTGCGGTCATTCTCATCGGCCATTGTCTTTAGTTCAGCTTGGCTGCTTTGGCGTAGTCCATATGGTCTGTGCCTTGTGAGTATTTTCGACGAGTTCTTGCACTTGCGAAGCAAACACCTTAAGACCAGCACAGCACAGTCGGAGGAAATTGTAAGCAGCACAAGAAAGTGGATCCAGACTTGTCTTTATAGAGTATGAGTCAACTGATGTGTATTATTTTGGTGTTCTAGTAGTAAGGAGTGGCAGCTTTCGTCCTATATCGCAACAAGATATTTCCAAAGCCAAGGAGGTCTTTCATTTGCGTGCCATTACGCGTTCTACACGATATTTTAGCTCGGATTGACTGATATTGATATGAGATATCTCCATTTACGTGGGTTTTGGCTGAAAGGAGCAGACAGTGCCTCCTCGCTCGTGTGCAGAATGTCTGCAGTTCAGCTGGTGTCAAACCAAAAACTCGAGAGAAGCGTCTGCAAAGAAGAAAACACGAGAAACAACAAGAGGTATGCTCGCTTGCTTTGATTCGTTCGTTCTCTCCCTCTACATCTTGTTTACTCATCCTTTTCTTTCCATTCAATTAGTGCGAACGAAACTGAGAATCTTTGAAGGTAAGCGTTTGGACTGTTGGTTGTTGAAAGACCCAGTGTCGATACTTGAAAATATTATATTCCTTCGTTTAAAAGCTGCATCAATCATTCTCATTCTTTAAATACATCGATCGGCATGGACTGACATCAACCATCACCCCATCTAATTAGACTCAAGTTCAATACAAGAATGACTTGGGGCGAAGACAGTGTTGCAAACACTGGAGGTGGAGGTGGATGGCGCTCTGCTTCTACTACCAACAACTACTCTTCTTCAACCAACTGGGGTGCTGGAGCTGAAGCTTCTTCATCCAACGAAAAGTCCTGGGACTCGGGCAACGCTGCTGCTTCCTTTACTGACTGGAATGCTGGTAGTGGTGCTTCTGCTGGTGGTGGAGGTGGTGGATTTGGCAACAACCGATATGATGAAAGAGGCAATGGTGGAGGTGATGCTGAACGTGGTTCATATCGCGGTGGTAGTGGTGGTGATCGAACTTGCCGAAACTGTAACGAAGTCGGTACGCATACTTGATCATCATTTGGCCGTTGTGGATGTTGTGTTGATGAAGCACATTCTTGATTCATATTAGCGAACTTTTCTTTGTCTCTTCAACTTAAAACTCAAAGTCTCCTCTCTCATCAGGTCACATCTCGAGGGAATGCCCACATCCAAAGGTTGCCAATGAGAATACTTCTTGTCGAAACTGTGAAGGAAAGGGTATGTGTTGATCAAAGACCGTTCCAGACAAAGATCGCTCACAGTCGTTCTCTTTGCGTTCAGGACATTTCTCGAAAGATTGTCCACAAATCACTTGCAATGTATGCAATCAAAGTGGCCATAAAGGAAATGTGTGCCCTACCTTGACTGCTCCTCTCGCTCGTGTAAGTACTGAGAATGGTTTTTGGGGTTTTTCCTGACCTGTCAAGAGTCAAACGCATTTGAGCGATCAATTCCATTCATCCATTTCATATTAATCAATAATAAATCTTTTGAAATCAGGCTACAGATGAAGAATGCACTGCAGCGTGGGATGAAATCCTTGCAGCTGAAGACATTGATGACGCCAAACATGCCATCAAAGACTATGCTGGCAAGGATACTACAAACACCTGGCCAAATATTGAAACTCGTCTTCGAGAAGCTGGCAGTAAGATCTATCTTGCTGCAAAGCCCAAGATGCTCCCTCCAGACAAGGAAATCGCTGATTTGGCTGTAAGTATCACTGAAGTCTGTTCTTCTGTACACACTCTTCATCTACATCCATCATGTACTGCTTTTCAATGATCACTCACATCTCCTTGGTCATGACTCAGGGTGCTGGAAACAAGAGATACGAAGTCCAAGTTTTCTTTGGTCGACGAGGTCTCAAGCAGGCCTACAAGAATCCAGACTCTGAAGATGAACGCAAAGAAAATCTTGAACGTCTTGCTGACGCTGGTATTACCATTCGTCTACGTCGTCGAGTTGGTGGCAAGTTTGAAATCCCAGACTTTGCCAAACAACACTTGAACCACAAGCAATCAGCATATGCCGATGGTGGATGTTATCGCTGTGGAAGAATGGATCATCAAAGCAAGGATTGCAAGCCTACTGAGGAAGACGAAAAGAGAAAGGTTGGCAAATGGTAAGCATACGGTTGGAAGTTTGAGTACTCCTTTTTTTACATTTCACTCTGTTGAAAACTTTCAATTTTAAATCACGTCATCCTCTCTCAACTCTTTGAATAGCTTCAAGTGTGGAGAAGTCGGTCATAGTCATCGCAACTGTGAAAATCCAAACACTGCACTCTACGCTTGCAAGAATTGTGCTTCTGAGGAACATCGCACGAAGGATTGTCCTCGCCCTCAGCTCTGCAACAACTGTCAGCAAGAAGGGCATTCCCAACGCGATTGTTCAGAGCCTCGAAAATTTACAGGTTAAGTGTCTCCATGTTGACGGAACATTGTGACTATGCTGTGTACTAAAAAACCATGTTTTTACCTGCTTAGGCACCTGCAACAACTGTAAGTGTCCTTAGAGAAATTTGTTTGGTTTCTGTTTCTGTTGCTGATTTATTTATGTTTTTTGGTTAAGATACAAATATGATTTTATGGTTGAAACCAAGTTCGCGAAATCATCACTGTATTCTGAACTATTGTCTTTTCTGAATAACAGGCGGAGAAGAGGGCCATCGTGGAAGTGAATGTACCCAAGTAGGCTAAAGCACACGAGGTGTTTAGTACTCCACATAAAACCTCACTACTTTTTCCATTCACAGGAACGAAAATTCACAGGAACTTGCAACAACTGCCAACAAGAAGGCCATCGCTGCTCTGATTGTCCAGAACCTCGAAAAGGCCGAGGAAATTGTTACAATTGTGAGTTGTGCCTCGTGTATTTTTTCGTGGGGTTCATTTGCTCACGCTTCCCTAAAACACAACACAGGTCTTCAACCTGGACATGACAGTCGCGAATGTCCAGAACCAAGGAAGCATCGTTGCAGGAACTGTAAGTTGTTATGTTTCCATACTGCTCCAGTGTTTTTGATTTGGTAGACCTTCGTTTGACGATACCCTTTCGAATGAACACAACTCACACGACTTTGGCTCCTAATAGGTCAAAGTGAAGATCACAAAGCCTCTGAATGCCCCAATCCCCCCTCTGAAGGCAGTGGTAATAGCACTTGTCACATTTGCCAAGGAAACCGTGAGTTCTATTCATTTTTGTTTGGCATTGTTTGCAGCTTGTGACTTACAACACTGTTTACCTTCTCAATCGTAGACTTTGCCAATCGTAAGTGGAAACCTCGTGCTTATTCAACTCTACACTCCAATTGTCTATGTGTTTAACCTGTTGTTGAATCTTTTGTTTATCTAGAATGTCCTATGAACAACAAAAGCTCTGACAATGGAGGTACGTTCGGTGTTTCCACTCACTTGCATGTCGTGAAAATTGAATCTGAAACCGTGAATACTCATTCGTGATTTTGAGCATAGGTCGTACTTGCCGTCGCTGTGGAGAGCCTGGCCATCAAAGTGCGCGAAATTTGCTACCATTCAGATTTCCCAAATGTGAATTAATATTTGCCATTTAATTTGTATAAACAGGTCGCGATTGTCCATCTGGTGGTCGTAGTGGTAGTGGCGGTGGTGGATTCTCCAACTCTCGCTCTGGTGGTGGCGGCAATGAATGGGGTTTCAACAACAACAACAACAATCGTCAACAACAAGGTGGGGGAGGAAGTGGTGGAAACAACTGGGGCTCCAACGTATTCTCCGGCGGCGGCAACAACGACAATCAGCAACCTGGTTGGAATACTGCTGCAAGCTCTCAAATCTCTGGCCAAATCTCAAGTGGTTGGTAGAAAAGTCGCAGTGTTATATATACCTCCTGTTTTGCAAAAATAGTTGTATAAAACTCCTCTTCCTGAAAATATGTACAGACAGCTCATGTGATCAATGATATTTTTCTGTGTGTTGGTGTATTGCATTTTCTTTCTGTGAGTTGAACAAATGCCGACTTCGTTTGAGACCATCCAAAACATATTTTGCGAGTTTTTCAATTGAAGCAGCATACAAACTTTAGAACTAGAGTTTGACTGAGAATCAAAAATTTCGACGCAGCAAGAGAAAGAGAGGAAATTCAATCAGAATCAGAAAAACAGTCGTTGAAACTTGGGCAATATAGAGCACCAAAAAAAAAAAAATCTGAGCAGACTATGAAATTGGACGTGCCCTGTGGTGCTCAATTCAATAACGTCCAAAGCAACATTGGATAGGCTGCGTTCTGTAAGTCTTGAAACACTTCGTTCAAATTCTCTGAACTCACACCGATAAGATCCTGTCACGAAAAAGGAACCACATGTCAGGATTATTGATACGGGACAAAGGTAAGTTTGACCCCATTCCAAGAGTCGTCATTCCGCAAAGATTTGATCCTGACATCAAGAACAGGCCAATTCAGTAACAAGCACAAAAATATATTTGCACATCAGCATATGTCCAATGCCTTGCATCACAAAACTCTTGCGATGATTTTACAAGATACGATTCCTCGTATTGCAGGAGCTCTTCCAACGAATTTGCAAAGGGGCAATGCTCGTCTCCGAGTCTAGTTTCATTGTGAGGTCATGATGCGACAGGTCTGGCAGGTTTACATGTCAAAGTTCCGTGCTTGACACACACGAGAGTCCTTTAAAGTCCCCAAATACATAGAATGTGAAGACTTGTTTTCATTCCAAGTAGCTTGTATCCAAATGAGAGAGCAATGTTTTCGAAATCACGGTCGAACCAACTCTGCGATCTGCCATACTCGAATTCAGCTCTCACACACAGCCTTCAGTTGTTCAGTCTACCGATACTAATTTTCACATCCACGACTACTGAATTGGCAGATTTGCTGACCACTTGCGATAGCCAACACACGGACGGACATGACTTTGCGTCTAAATTTGATGTTTGAATCATTCTACGTGTTTCAACTAAGTGGGCACTACTCCCCTAGTAGACCATTCATAAATCGACTCGAAACACGTCGTTTTATTCCACTTTTGTGAGTGTCTCTCCCGTCTTCGATTGAATCCCTCACTTCCTAAACTCCCTACTTCGTAACATCGACGGACACAACCCTTGGAGAAAAAGTTTGTAGGAGCAAGATTCAGATCCAGACCTGCACACCACTACAGGTATATTTGAGACTGTTTTTCGGACTTGCCGTCAACTCACTCACATCTTGTTTTCGTCAATACCAGGCCATCGCTACAAGGACCCCAGGAAGCTGCCATCTATGGATGCGAACCGAACCATTCAGTGACTATCCACACCTCTGCGTGTTCCAAGAGAGGATCGTTCCACACACTACAACACTTGCGTTGGGTTCTCTCTAATGTGGAGATCGTTGTGACGCCAAGTGCGAGTGAAGTTGTTGGATCCTTCCGATCTATAGTCATTGCAGTAGGAAACACAGGATTATCCCACACCCGCTTGCCGTGGCATTCTCTAATGTAGAGAATGCTGGTGACGCCACAAGCGTCGGTGTTGTTTCATCCTGCATGGTAATGTGGCCATAGCCGGTCCCAAGCCCCGGTTGAGAAACACAGAGGGTCTGATGATTGATACAACAATATTACTGTAGGTCCACAATACCTAAGTCTCTGCAAATCGAACCCAATCTTCTTCCCATATGCTTTCATTGAGAGATATGTACAACTTATGAGCTAGGTTTTATCTAATGAGCAGCGACACTTTCACAACACAGGAAGAGATCATCGATAGTTTGAGATTCAATTAGCATGGCCTAAGAAATACGACGAACAGGATAAGGTTAGATACAAGAACAGAAAGAGTTTTCCAACACGTAATAACTTGTAATGACTGGACTTGCCCAGTAGTTTTCATAGCAATGACCTAAAAAGAGAACAGAAACCGCGTTATTTCACAGCTCCTGAAATACCCAACGACTTCAAGTATACAACTCACCGATGCCATAACATCCCTCCAAGAGGCCTTATCCCACAAATCTTTGCCAGAGGCATCAGGTGGAGTGACAGCACCAGGTTTGGTAGCGTCACTTGGCGCAGCAGCACCAGGTTTGGCTGTGTCGCTTGGAGTAGCAGCAGGTTGTTGTGTAGGAGCAGTGTCGTGAATACTCTTGAGTGGAGCATCAGCGACTTGTACTGCAAGTGGGTGGCGCTTGTGGTGGTGATGACCGATTCCATATTGTTTGTGTGCTTCACGCCTAAGCGTTTGATGTTGGCATTTTGGTTTGCTGAGGAGAAATTGGGAAGGAGGAATTTACCTGGCTTCCATAGCTTTGGCATCTTGTCCCTCCAAGAACTCCATAGCCATTTTCAAGTCCTAAAGTTTGGCGGTAATGTCCGGTTAGCCTTAGTTTCCAGCAAAAGAATAAGGTTTGATGGTGAAACGTACTGCCAACAAGAGCTCTGCACGGTTGTACGAGAAGTCTTCACGAATGACAACACGTAAAAGTTTGCTTTTGTCTGCGTGAGGCTAAATAAGAGGGGTAATAGATCAGACAGTGAGTATGTCAGAACTTGAGGAGATGCGAGACTTACCGCGAGTGTGTACTAAGGATTGTGGATGATGAGCTAAACGTTAGAGTGGTGTCTTTTAACATCAAACCTGAAGGTACGTACTGCTGGCACAATCCAACCTATGGCAGTGAACAACATTCATGTCTTTGTGTCAACAACATGAGAGAACCTTATACATTTGAAGTCAAGTTTTGCAGCCCTCACCTCTTTCGCGAAGCCTACTGGCAACATCAAACTCATCAAAGTGCCGACTTTCATCCTTTGGCAGTTTGAATGCAACGAGTGGAAGTCCCTTGTGAGGATCTTGAGATGATAAGATTTCAAAGCCCATATTTGTAAATTGTTCAGACAAGAATATCGCTGTTTCTTGTAAGTTTTCCATGATGCTTTTGAATCCATTCTTTCCTAGTCGAATCATGACCTAGAGTAACGGCCACAAAAAACAAGTTTAAAATTTATCAGTATCGCAATTGACGACTCAGTGACGCTTTACATAGTATTGGGCAATGACTTGAGAAGAACCTTTACTGAAATTCAAGGTGAAGGAAGCTTGGTCTGCTCCAAGATAGTTGACGTGGAAGACGAGATCGTCAGGTAAGAATTCTTTGGATCTCCAGATGCACCATCCAACTCCCTAGTGCAACGGAAAAAAACCCATGCTCGAGTGGCCCAGACTATATAAATGCACTGAATATGCGCTTACTGGATACACGAGTCCATATTTATGACCTGAAGTGTTGATGCTATTTCATAGGCTTGATATGAGTTTCAAATCTATTAGCGACCTCTGACCTCAGCCCTTGTTTTACCTTGCGACACAAGGCAACCGGAAATCCCATACCAAGTCTGGTACCAAGAAGGGAGCTACGAAACCACCAGAAGCTGCATCTAATATTTAATTCAGATGAAAATGTTAGCTCAGGAACTGTTCAGTGTTAAAACGGCCGTGCTATATAGCTCTTTATACCAACGTGAATAGGAACATTCCACCCAGTCTTCTTATTAATCTCCACCAACAAGTCATTCAAAGTCTTGACATCTTCGTAATGACCAGTGTATGTTGATCCCAAGATAGCCACAGTACCAATAGTGTTTTCATCAACCATAGCCGCAGCTTGTTTGGGATCCATAAACATTTGATCTTCAGTGCAGAATACATAACGAGCTTCGATTTCGAGGTATCGGACAGCTTTTTCCCAGCATACTTGGACGTTTGCTCCCTATTGTATCAGGATTAGACCCTTGAAGACCTTTGCAAAAAAAGGTCATACATCTGTCTCTACTATACCATGATAAGGTTTGGCTTTTCTTTTGATTTCCCTTCCTTTTCACGACGTAATTGCCAGCGCCTTTTCATGGCTAATGTACTCAAAATGATGGCTGTAATTTAAAAGCTGGTATTAATTTCCATAATGTATATGATGTGTGGTTGAGAAGTAGGAACTTGCCTTCACTAGATCCCACAGTTGAGACACCAAGAGCTGGTTCATCTGCACTGAGAGGAGCATGGAACTATGAAAAAAGGACAAAGTAGGGTTTATTTGAAAAGGACATAACACACATTTAAAGTCCAAGGGCAACAAAAAAAAAACAGGACAATCCAAACATCAGTCAAGCAACAGACGCCTGATGGAACTTACAAGTCGACCCAGCATGTTGACACAGCGGTTCTGAAGCTCAACTGTGATGGGGTATTCTTCATAGTTGACTATGATGACGAAAGAGAGTCAAGAAAACTTTTCGAAAAGGCGTAAAGCCTGACACGCACTGAGATTCTATAGGGACAGGAAAAAACGTATGAGATGGAAAGGGAATAAAAATTTAATCTGGTAATGCATTTACGCATAATAGGTACCTTGTTGAAGGACTCTTCCATGAGCTTTTCAGCTTCAGGCTCCATGTAGGTTGTGACAAAGCTTGCCAGGTTGAGAGCAGGTCGACCGTCTAGTTCGAGTTCGTCTTTGATGAGTTGGTATGCAGTTGAAGGTGGCATTTCCTCCTAAAAGCGACAAACATAACGTGATCAGCGGGTTGTGATTTAAGATCCAACGATCCAACACAGGCAGTGCGTTCGTGATAAGAGCTGAGAATCACGTAGCAGCAGTCGTGAGTGTACATAAGCTCGGGGAATCCAAATTGACCATCGTACGGTCGATATAAAGCAAGAATAAAAATCACGTTGAACACATCAAGGTTTCGTGATTTCTTGATGTTGAAGATACCGATGCATTCCACTCCACCAGGACCCGGAAGACAGAAGATCCGTTTTCTTACCGCTGGAAGCTCATATTTTGGTATAGATTCGCGACTAATTATTGGATTTTTGTTAGTAAGTCCACTCGATATAATCAACAAAACTCTTGACTTGAAGCTTACGACCACTTGCTGCCAAACACGTGAGGTTGGACTGAGTTTTCTTCGCCTGGGACCATTGCTGATAGGACCATGGTAGGTTCTGCTATGAGCGATCGACTATGAAATGTTGTTGGATGTGAATGCTTTTGACTGAGCTTGTAGGAGAAACGCCGACTAGAAATTCAGGGTCTTATGCAAAAGAGGTCAACAGTTTTTGAGTAAGCTACCAATATACAATTTGCTATTGGACGTGCCTGTGGTCGTGTTGGTCTGGGTGGATTTCTGGGTTGCATTTGATTCAACATCAGTACCAGTGTGAATTGTGAACCACTCATCTGACTGATCTTTTTTCTTCCATTCACAACATAGATGTTTACACGTTATAGACCTTCCTTATCCTCCTGAACACATTGGATGTGTTTGAAAAGTATCTTTGCAACTCATGTTACAACGAAAACGCATGCAGCACGCTGTTTGAAACTCACAGAGGGCCCACGACTCACTTGAACTCAAAGTTTATAGTGTTATTCGTCTAATCGTTAGCTCTCTGGTAAGACAAAAACACCCCCACCATGAAGATCCTGCAACAAGCCTCAATGACTTGGCGTACTGACGTTCATCTTCCAACAATATTAGGCTATTGCTAAGTAATCTTGCAAGTCTGAGCATTGAGATCCTCATTGGGGCAACATGATGGTCAAGATTGACAAGACTGGAACGACTCATCGTCCTGTATCTGCTGACTGTAACACTGTGTGCGATGTCAAGACTGGTGGTGCCTTGAAAGTGATGGTACCTCGTCTCCGCTATGTGTTGTGGCGTGAGTCGATAAAATAGTAGTTGCTGGACATGGTGAGTCAGAACATTGGCAAAAAAGTACTGAAACCAACTTGATATTATCTTCCTCACATTCAGGTCTTCACTTCCAAGTGACTTTCAATTTGAAATCTCCTGCATGGAAATGCTGGACATTGGCTCAAGCTACCTCAAGAACCAATATCGTCGTAAGTCATACACACACTCCTTTGAGGCTTGTTTGTTTTCGACCTCAACTCTGTCTCTCCGTGAATCAATCTAATCCCTTCCCCTTAGTAGTGGATTGATGATGGTACCTCGTCAATAGGCTCTTTGACTGAATGTACACGACATTAGCTAAACGACTTTGCAGTGCCGCTTAGTGTTGGTCGCAACCTTCGTTCTCTTGGCCTTTCGTGCATCGTATCCTTGATTATGAATCTGATCAAGACTCTTGCAAGGGCCGCTTTTCAATCATGTTATCACCTTTCCCAATCCTTAACGATCAAGGATGAACCTAATGTGTTGCTGATTTGGACTAAAGCTGCAATGGCTGATATGTCAACTATAATATCCCGGCTCACGCATTTTGAAGGGCCTTGGAGCTGGGTAGTTGATCCTTTGTGGTGTTTTATATTTGGAAGGGATGTTGCCAGTCGAGGGTTTTCCGCATTGTTGCTTGTCATAGATCGTTATAGAGACCTTTTTTGGCAATAGCATGTTAATGCGGATGACTCAGAAGCCCTTCATAAAACACGACAAACAAGTCCAATCAAATTCTTTCGCTGGTGTAATCGTTCCGCTCTGCAGAGTAGGATGGATGGAAACCTAATAATAGCAAAATATGTGGTAATGGTAATGTTACCTTCACCTCAAACATCTTGAAATTCATGACTTGCTGTCGTCTACTATAATATATGCGTACTAGCTCTATTGAAACGAAGCGTCAGTACAAAATATACTCCTTACAGCAAATGCTTCAAAAAGTGCTCCGCAGCCAAAAAAACGTGTAGCAGCAAGGCGAAGATCCGGTGTAAGACGGTTGTCAAGTACTTCAAGAATACTTAACGATATATTTGACTGTGTGAATTCTTTGTTAAATCTCTCTTCTTGCTGCTTCTATCTCAAAACTTGTTGGAATATTGGAATTGTTTGAAGAACGAAGAAACGACAGACTTGTATGGCGTTAATTCAGTCGCATCAGCTCACGTTAAAGGCCCAGTGCAAATTAAACACATTGGATACCAGAAGCTGAGGTAGTAAGTCAAATGTGAGCTCCTGATTTAGTCTTCATTTGGACTTGCGTCCAAATTTTGCGTTTAGATAAAACCAAGTCTTTTCAAATCTGGACACCGACCTCCGAAAAGCTCGTTTCGTATATCAGAAAGGCATAGAAACTCATATGGAACTCAATTATTAACGTCTATTGATCCTCCGCTTGCAGTAATGTGCCCCGTCGGTCGTGTATTATGCCCGAAAACAGTAACACTACGCAACATTTAGAACACCCATACAGTCCCCACTTTTAACCCAACCACAGAATCACAACTGCTATCAAACATCTTAACACACTGTTGAACTATTGTTTCTTTCTACACAAATGCGATACAGCAATACAAAAGCAACCGAAGTCAGATGACGAAGAATTAAGAGACACAGTTAACTTAGAATCGATTGCAGAATAGTAGTACCAGCAGCGTTATTGTCTTGCGCCCAAAAATGGCCGGCATCATTCAACACAAAGTACGTAAGACCCCTTTCGGAATTCTGTTGACCAAATGTCCATGGTTTCAACGCATGCTAAAAAAAAGAATACGGCTCAGGAATTAATTCTCGCGACACAGAGCATCCATACCACCACATACCTTAAACCCCTTATTTCCATTCCACGTCAAATTCCCAATCATCCACTGCACTCCCAGCTCATTCGTAATGAAATCAAGCGTTCCTGAAATGATTGTGACCTTGACGCCAAAGTTAAGCAAGGATGGAAGGAGTCGGTATGAAGGATAGCTTCCGTCAGGGTTTAATTTCAGGAGGACTTGGACAGAGCATGGGAGGAATTGGGTTGGGGAGCCGGGTATGTTTGTGTGGATGGCGGCGCGGAAGTCTGGTGCCTAGTTTTAAGACGATTGGTGTGAATGAGGAGTGGCTTAACGGATCATTACACGACGATTTACATTGGTGATTCCCAGTAAGGCCAAATCGCCTTGGTTGAAAGAAGTTACACAGGTCGTTAACTTGTAGTCGTAATCTAATTCGAACATTATGTGGTCAGCTCAGGTTCGGCATTATGAGTTCGGCAGCTCCCAAAAGCTATGAATTATCCAACTCACAGTTAAAGCATGCATTAGCCCTACGCAAAAAAGTCATCTGGTCAGCTCCACGTAAATATTAGCTTACGCCCAAAGAACTCACCCCATCTTCTGCACATAATACTGCTGTATCCCATCAATAATAGCCGCACAAGCAGGGACAAACGTAAATTCCTGTCCATTGGCGAAATTAGTCTGGATCGCTGCCTGGCATGCAGCTCCAATGGCATTGATATTGGTAATGGCAGTGGCATTTCCGTTCAGGAGATTCACATTGGCTTGTTCCGCGAATGTTACTTGGGACAGGTATTGCCGTGATGGGTCCATCCAGGGTGACGCGACTGCGATGCCTTCAATGTTCATCTGGGTGAGATTGGTTAGTGTCTGAGGAGGAGCGTGTAAGGGGATTGAAGGAGACTCAGAGACTCACGAATCCATTTCCACCGAACCATCGTGCATAGACATTTTGGAAGAGGATGTAGCGTGTGAGGTATGGGATGTACATTCCGGCGTAGCTTTCTCCGGTTAGGAAGATCTAAGCATGATATGGAGCACTTTTGTTAGCAGGACTATTTCAGAACAGCATGAAAAGATGACTACCTTGTGAGATTGAAGCTGAGGAAACACGTAAAGAAACCGCTTCAAGAACGTATACAGCATTTGAGTAATTTGAAGCTCGTTCGTTGGTAGTGGAGCACTGTTGGAATACGAATATCCAGTACCGATGGGTTGATCAACTAGGAATTGTTGAGATTGGGTTTAAGTTTGGTCATGATCATGCACCATACCGACTTACTGTACACCACATGAGCTTGATTAGACCATGCATTAGGATTGGCGAAGAAGTTGCCCGTAGGCGTAACAAGAAAAGGACCTAACGGCCAGGTGTTAATCCTGTGTCCACGCTCCGCGACTTTTGATTCACATACCAGTCTCCTTAAACAGCCCAATCAAACTCGAGCACCCCGGTCCACCATTCAAGAAAATAACGAGCTGATTGCTATCACTCGGGCCAGGAAAGTACCAGAAAAACACGTTCGACACCACAGTCTTGTTGAATAGAGGTCCAATCGGCATATATCCTGAATACGAGTTCATGGCTATGGCATTGACATCAGCGGGAAAGTACCGAATGGGTGTCGAGATTTTAAAAGATGCGGCTGTAAAGCGAGTAGCAAAAAATCAGTTTAGTTCAGATCCCGACGAGGGAGTTATGTAAATGCAAACAAGAGTTTGTACAAGCACGTAAAGCAATGTAAATTTACCTGTTGGCAGGTTCTGCAGCCACGGCATCTTCCACGGACCCCAATTCTGACCCCAGGATGCCGAAAATGCCATGGTTGGCATGTTTGTTAGAATAGCGATTACGAGCAACGTCCACCGTCGTAATGACACAGATGTACTGGCAGATGATTTCAAAATACGATGAAACATGATGAGGATTTTGTATGATGTCTACTCCGTGCTGCAGATGTTGGCGATCTTGTAAGTTCTTGAAAGTTTGACGGGGTGTTCCACGTTGGTTTTAGTAGATCCAGTCGATTTGACACTCTATAGCAGACGTTTTTGAAGATGCAATTGATGTGGTCAACTTCCACTTGACTACTTTACTACACTAACTGTCACTTTCTAAGATCGGCGCCAAACTTTTGAAAGGATGGTTTTTTGGCACGCGCAGCAGAAAAAGACGGCAAGGTAAACTGCGTAAACAATACAATGCCACTTTGGATGATCGCACCTGCTTAATGAACAATATTGAAGCAATGTAGGTTTTGTCTGTACACTGACCTGTTGGGAAAATTTCATCGATTTTAACTACGATTGGAAGTCTCAACACACTATTGAACTGAGTAACATATCTATTATTCGTTTTGCCTTGCAGGAACACGTTACAGACTAGTGGGGCCCCCAATAACTTCAACATAAACCACACCACCCTCACTAATCCCAGATTCTCGTAAACTAGCATCAGGCGCAAGCGGTACCCATCTACGTCCCAACAGCACTCCAACTCTCAGTCCCTTCGCTGTACCTAAAGCAGCATCATAGTTTGCCCTCGAGTGGGTTCCAAGTCCAAGAGATTTGATACAGACAGCATCACTTCGAATAAGATGCGTCAACATGGATGTGGAAATGTCTAGTGTCGGGATTGATACGGTGCAAGAGGGTGCGAATTCGTCGAAATCGGGAGTGTATGCTTTGACCTGGACTGATTTTCTGTCGTCAGATGCCTAGGGTGGGTTGTCAATCCAAGGACGCTGAAAAAAACCGTGTTTGGAATTACTTGAGTACCTTTCCAGATCCAATATATTCTCGTCTAAGACCAGGTTCAATGGCTTGTCTTATAACGGCATCAATCTCTCGGTCAAAGGATGGTGTATTCGGTCCATCGAAAGTTCCACTAAGCTTTTCATTGGCGCCTGCTTTTCGTGACACTTCAGGTTCACCGTAAATCTCATCCATGCCTTCATTCACTAATGCCAAAAAAACCGATAAGAATGTATGCTTATTTGTCGAATCAACAGTGTGTAAACACTCACTGATGGACTCCATAGTCTCAAACATCTCCATTCTTTCAGCGTATTTAGCCTCTCGGCGTTGAACTGTTGTCAGACTCTCTTCAAAGTTGGAGTAGCTCATGCACTTTAGAGCATCGATTTCAGCGCGATTGATTTTGTGGTTGGAGGCAGCTACTTGAGCTCGTGTTTGAATCATGGCTGCGGCACCGAAATTCCTGTCTGCGAGCATGCGATAATGGGCTACTTGAGAAGCAATGATTCTAGCACGTGGGATTTCACCCCGTTGGACTAGCATTCTGATCTGGCCAAGCTAGAGGAAATAGCCTGTGAGCATGAAGATATTGGAGCCAAATGATTAAGCAAGTGGTTTCCTTTTGGTAGGAGAGCTTCATGATAATCTTGATGACTTCAAATTCAAGATTCACGTTTCGCCTACCAATGCTCGTTCAGTTCGTTCTACATCGTTCCTGTCTCGTCCAAGATCCCGAGACACTCGTTTCACATTTGATTTGGCTTCTTTGAGACGTGCATCACGTCTTGCTGGCAGTGAAGATTCAAACATGGAGCTGCCAAACATGATCGAAATTTGGTAGAAGTCTCAGGAATTCAAGGTGGTGGAAATGACAGAGAGGGGAGCAAAGAGTACTAGTTTCTTAAGGGATTTCTTGCGTCTTGCGTTATAGGGAGAGTATCTTTGACCGATGATACAAAGATTGGCGAATGGTGATTGATGTAGGCTTGCCGAAGCTCACGGAAGATTTTGCACAGTAAACTTGGACGAGATAACCTAATAGAAATCTAAAAATTGTAAATTAAATCGTCTAGCGTACGGGACATGTTGCCAACTACGTGCCTTGCTTCCTCTTAACTTTGTTAAGAATTCACAATTGTCAAGACAGAAGGTTCTCTTTCCGGTCAAGTTAATACATTAGGTACGAATCCTCAACTCATTTCATATTCAGATCTATTAAGCCCTTAACGTTTCCATTAACACCATCGCATTGCCTTCTAGCATCAACGTCTTCCAACAATGGGGCTCCTGACAATTTTAAAGAAGATCCGCCAAAAGGAAAAGGAGATGCGCTTGCTCATGCTGTAAGCACTTACATTCTCAACTGATCTGATACAGCAGCCTCTTGAATCTCTGGCAATGACCAACATTAAAAAATTCTAGAGGATTGGACAATGCAGGCAAGACAACCATCCTGAAAAAGATCAACGGAGAGCCTATAGATCAGATATCACCTACTCTTGGTTTCAATATCAAGACGTTGGAGCATGACGGGTACGGCAGAACAGCGCGTTTATTTCAAACACTATGTTGACCAACTCCTTTTAAGGTACAAGCTCAACATATGGGACGTTGGAGGCCAGAAATCAATTCGCTCGTATTGGAGGAATTATTTCGAAAAGACGGATGGACTAGTGTGGGTGGTGGATTCAGCTGATCGCAAAGAGCGATTGGACGATTGTCGGCGAGAGTTGTCTGCGCTTTTGCTAGAGGAGGTACGTTTGACTAGTGCTTGATATTGTATATGGAGCAGTAGAGATTGATATGGTGTTTGACTTTGTTTAGAGATTGGCTGGTGCATCGCTGCTCATATTCGCAAACAAGCAGGATTTGCCAGGCTCGCTATCTGTAGATCAAATACGAGAAGTACGAATTGCTAAAATACGTGGAGCAATCTCGAAGCAAACCACATCAGAGTCTGATAATTTCTCTCATTATAGGCACTACAGTTGGATTCGATACAAACACACCATTGGCACATTGAATCCTGTTCAGCCGTAAAAGGAACCAACCTACTGAATGGAATGAATTGGGTTGTAGGAGATATCGCGTCACGAATATTTATGCTAGAGTGATCTATAAGTGTAACTTGTATCCATTTGCAAATAGTGTTAATATATTTGACCGACATCATGACGACGTGAGTTGGACAGGATCAACGAGAGCACTACCACGATCAGATATGTGGCAGACACGAATAATGAAATGATCCAAACAATCCCAGTAGTGACATTTGTGTTTAAACTTTTCGTCCGTGAGAACGATCATCGTGTACGACGCTGCCAGTTTGTGATTCCTTGACTTGATTCATCTTCACAACACCCTTAGTAACATACAAACGGCACAAGACAATGGCAAACCAACGTATCAAGAGCCTCCAAGGCCACCTCCAAGTCAACAACAATCTGTCTGACATTGTTACTCATGAATTCAGTTCAGATGATGCATTTGAAGCTCAGTTCGTCGAAGAGAACCCCACCGTAATGCCAACCGGCGTGAAGGCATCTGAAGTATCTCAGCTCCAGTTCACTATCCCAGACAGTGTCAAACCTGTCCGCGATCGTGTTATTAAGTTTATGGAGGATTATGTTTACCCTGGTGAGTAGTCGTCGCGTTTTCCTGTAGCGAACTGGTTGGATCATTTACTGACCTTTCTCTATTGCTAGTCGAGAAGCTAATGGAGGAAGCTGGTTCTCGCGCTGAGTTCCGAAAGCAGCTCAAGTCTATTCAAGACGAAGCAAAACGTCAAGGACTATGGGCTCTTGGACACCCGAAGGAGATTGGCGGTGGCGGGTAAGCTTCCAATGCACTTTAAGTCTCCTGATGCTGTGGAGCACCTCGTTTCCTCATCTGTGTCCAATGCCATTCTAACACTTTTCGTCTCCTAGTCTACCATTCATGGACTATGTCTTTGTCAACGAAGTACAAGGACGTTCCGAAATCGGCAGTTTCTGCTTGGTATGTCTTTGGCATAATGCTCGGATTTGCATTGTGGTATTTCGCTCTAACAAAGACACTTGTAGGGAACTCACACTCTCCAAGACTCGTTGATGATGTTCCGATACGGTACTGAAGACATGAAGCGCAAGTACTTGCGCCGTCTGGTTGCTGCTGAAATCAGTATGTTCTCTGCCCCTCTCGTTTTCCCTTGAAAGCCAAAGCTGGAAAAGAATTAACACACTTTCGCTTTGTCAGGCCCTTCATTCGCCATGACTGAACCCGATGTTGCATCTGCCGATCCAGTGCAATTGAAGACAAAAGCTGAATTGATTGGTGATTCTTGGGTAATAAATGGACATAAATGGTGAGATAAGATTGCTAATCCAGATTCACTCGTCATTTATCTCTCAACGCTTTCAATTGAGGAAATCTCTAATAACCAACCCAACTTTATTAGGTTCACATCAGGAGCCAAGGGAGCTGAATACACTGTCGTTATGGTTCGCACAGAGTTCAACGCTCCAATCCATGCTTCATTCTCCATGATCTTGGTACCCACCAACACCCCTGGTTACAACATCATTGATGACACAAAAGTGCTTGGTATTGAAGGAAACCATTGCGAGGTATACACTCTGTTTTGAGAACGTTGAAGGCTCACAGAAATGGGTGACACAAATGCTAAAACAGGTCGCTTGTTAGGTCATCTATGACAACGTACGAGTTCCTAAAGACCACTTGCTTGGTCCACGAGGTCAAGGATTCATCATTGCTCAAGAACGTCTCGGGTAAGCATCAATCCTTTCGGAGTTTCGTTTGGGGACGTAGAATACATTCCACTAAATCGACTACCTTTGTTATCATTTACCAGACCTGGAAGAATCTTCCATTGTATGAGATGGTGCGTCCGTCAGTGCCTAGTCTGCATACAGGAGCTCCTTTCGTTTTCGTCTTAAGCGGTTTCTCCCACGTCGATACCACCTACTTGACAAAACATTTCTAACCAACTTCAACCGCTTTCACAGGTTGGGACAAATGCAAAGAGGATATGACTTGATGTGCCAACGTCTCAACTCCCGCATGATTCGAGGAGAGCCATTGGGCACCAAGCAGTTGATGCAGAAGTTCGTTTACGAGTCGTATGTAGACAGTAAGTTTCGGTGATTTGTTGATTCGGTAGATGTCGTAATTGGGGAAATGTGGCCTCAAAGCGCTGCTGATGCTGCAAAGCAATTCTACGAGGGTGTTTCGAATTTCAGTCGCAATTCATTTTTTTGAGCAAATTACTTTTGCACCTAAAATAGTTCAAACCTCTCGTCTCCTCACATTGGCTGCCGCTACCAAGATTGATGCAGGTATATACTGCACTTCTATTAACCTATCTGTCCAAATAAGTTTGTCGCAGACAACCAACATTGGATTTCTTTGCTTCAGGTGGACAAGCCCGTGTTGAAATCGCCGCCATCAAGATCTATGGAGGTGGATGTCTCCACCGTGTCATTGACAGAGCCGTACAAGTACACGGTGCTGCTGGTCTAACAGACAGAACACCTCTGTCTCATATGTACCGTGCTGCTCGATTTGGTCGTATTTATGATGGAGTATGTTTTGATGGTTGAGAACTGCTTTCAAAGGTCGAGGTCTGATGGCTACTTTCTCTGTATAGCCTGATGAGACACACATTACGAGAATGGCTCCTGCCATTTTGGCTGAATATGCTAAAGGTATGATGTGAATTGGTTGCCTTCTTTGTAGTGTTTTTGTGTCCTTTAACTTTGAAAACTGAAATCGACATCTTTCTTAGGAAAAGGGTGGGATTTTGGAAACCGCAGTTAAACTGTTTCACGCAAACAATTTTGTCGACTTCAAAAAATTCGTATTGCTTGAAAAGTCTTTTGTCTTAATGAAATAAATGGACATTTCCAACCGATTAAACATCTCTACGTTTCAACTGTGAGAGGGGTTATTTGGCTTGTTTTTCACTGCTTTTCTGTTTGAAGAACGTCTCGTTAATTCTTATGGCTTCCAATGTTTTTCAAAGCACTGAAAGCCGAAATCAAAGCTGTCTCATTCGCCGTTGAACACGCTGATCTCATCACGTTGATCTCATCAACTTTAAGTGAGACGAATATAGGCACTCGCCTATCTATATCAAGGCACCGAATACAAAGTCAAATGGACGCCAATGGCATATCTTGATGACCATATGGCAGGCGAAATCACACGTCGCTGTGTTGAATGCAAATATGAAAATGGACTACAGTACTGATTTTTTGTGTTGTGGTTGTCGGCACTCTGACGACGCATATTTTGATAAAAAGAAGACAGAACTGTGAAGAATCACAAAACTGGCCCACTAAGAGAAGATAATATCAAGAGTTCTTGTCCAGTTGTTACTTTCATGATCCCGCAAGTAGTTTGGTACAGCTTTGCATTTGATAATCTTGATGCTAGCTGGTTTGTACTTCAACAGCACTTAATTTTGCTTTTCTTGACCCTTTTAACGCTGCGTCGTGGCCTTAGTAAGCCATGATGGCAACGAAGGAACCATATCATGTATCAGTACTTTGTTGCAACATGCAATGGGTCAAACTGGCGTTGATCATATACACGAAAAAATCCCATTCACACCAGCACAATAAGAAAAAGGGATTCACAGATACTGCCTTGTAAATCGTTGCTCCACTTTATACCAGCAAAATAATGCCACATGCAGTAGTTTAGGGATCCATCTTTCGTACTGTCCAACAGCAGGCACAGGTTCTCTCCACATCACACAGAGGTTGCACAATCATCCGTTCTCATTGTTTTATGTGTCCTCATTGTTCCTGATGCCAATCGAAAAGGGACAATTGTGCTCCCAAAGAATAAGAACTTCTTCACCATTTACACTGCCCAAGAGGAGTCACAGGTTGTTCATCATCACACATAGATTGCGAATCAGCACGATCTACATGTCCATTAGCTTTATGTAAATACTTCAAATGCGGCAGTTTGACATTCTTGCACGGTCTTGAAAGAGACCTTGGATGGGAGAGCTGAATGATGCGTATGATGTCATGTCGCTGCCACTGGCGGATTTGAATGTGCCGTGTGAGGATACCCGACATTTTGGCGTCCCAAATAGCATTTTTTATATGAGAATCTCCAAAACAAAAACATAAACGAGGTAAACAGCATCTCAGCATAAACATTCGTCGACCCAAGCTCACCCTCAGATGCGTTCCACCAGCATGAGAGAAATGCTCCGTGTCGTGACTCTCGATGTAACAGCCACCGTAAGCGTGGTGCCCTTCTGCGTCATCAAAAACTAGCACAACAGTTTTTTCTGTTCATCATAATAATTCAAACACGATCCAAACAGTTCCACCCTTTTCATTAGCTCATAAAACCACACAGCAAAACCGTGGACACCACTTCTGCTCAAATGCAAAAATCTACATTCACTAAACTTAACTATACACATATATGATCCCATTCCCACCAACAGCAACAAGCAGTTTACTTGCATTGTCTTCTCTATCATCACTCTTTCTATGAAACCTGAACGGAAAAATCCCGTCAATACAAACAAAAACACAAATTCACTCGCACTTGATAAACTCACCATTTACACTGCCCAATAGGCGCCATAGCCTCTTCATCATCACACATAGATATCATATCATCTCGTTCCAATCGTCCATTCGACAGTCTCCATATAAACACTCCAAATGCAGCGGTTTGCTTTTGTTGTATAGTCTTGGACGAGCTTTTAGAGGGGGAGCTGAATGATGCGAACGATTTCATGTCGCTGCCGCCGGCGTATGCGAATGTTCCGTGTGGGGATACACGGGCCTCAATTCGTGTCTACGTATTGAGTTGTGTTTAGTTTTGTTTGAGCAAACAAAAAAAAAAGGTCTAAGTGGCTATTATAATAGGACACTTACACCAGGAGCAATCTCCCTTGCAGCCAGCGCACGAGACGATGATCCAGTCCGTAAATCAACCAATCGTAATTGCGAATCACAAGAGATCAACACAAATCCAGAATCAGATGGGTGTGGTTGTAATGAAGTAACAGCAGTTTTGCTAAAAAAACTAGTGAGGGAAGCACCGATGACACTACTTAATATCAGGAGTCTAAGCTTACTTGAGTCGCAATTCACCAAGCTGCAGCGTATGCAACAAAATCAGCGTCCGTGTTTTGTATATCCGTATTGAATATGATAGTGATGCAACGAGTGTTTCAGCCTACCAAGAATAAAAATGAGATAAAGTCGACTTCCGATGTTATTGTAATAGTCCTTTTTCCTTTTTTTTACCTGAGAATCTCCACAAAACAAAAAGGACGTAAACGGCTCATTAGCATTCACACCCGTAAATCTCGGCTTATCCTCCGATGCATCCCATATCTTCAGACTGTTATCAGATGAACATGATGCGGCTCTACATATCAAGTCCCAGTTAGTCTCTTTTTTTATGCCGTCCACAACCACATGCACAATATACCGATCTTCACCGCCATCATCCAGCGGACAAAACTCGCACTTGCCAATAACCCTCGTATGCACCTTCCTCCAAATCCTAACAATCTTACCCCGCTTCCAATCCCACAGTTTCACATCCCCATCCATATCAGATGTCATGAGCCACTGTGGCCGTGTCTTGTGAAAGGAGACCGTTAGTGTCGGCTTGGATGTATGGGTATCGAGATGCATTATGGGCGATCCGGTTAGGACGTCCCAGAAGGACATTGTGCGGGATTCGCCGGCTGTTACGAGGACAATCCTAACACCAAAAAACCATGTTAAGTATATTGCAAATTGCCAAAAATGGAAAATCAGCCACTCACATATTCTCTTCAGGAATCTCTGTAATATCAATACATCTCACATTCCCAACACACGGACCACATTTCCGTGCCAGCACAAACTCGGACGTTTCATTCTGTATTGGCGGAGGAGGTACAGGCCGTGGGTCCACATCTAGTAAGCTCGCAACAGGAGGTTGACTACGTCTATCTGATTCAGATGCAGGCGGTGGCGACCTTGCTGATGAGGATGCAGGTGCTGTGTCAAAAGGTGTTGTGAGCAAGAAAACATCTCAGAGCACGGATCGATAATAACATCTTACGTGTTCGAGTACTTAGATTCTCCCGCCTCCTCGACCTTACAGAAGCAGACGAAACAATCGGCGCCGGACCAGCAGGCGGCCTAACAACATCCACAACCTCCTTCCTACTCTCAGCAAGATATTCATTATGAAGCTCCCGTGGCGATTTCACACCAACAGGCGTCTTATTCCCCCCTTTACTCTTCTCCACAACAGCCTTCTCTTCCACAACCGGCGTCGGCTGAGGAACAATCCCACACAGCAACCTCACATCCGTGATAACATTCTGCGCAACATCCCAACACGCAATCAATGTTTCAAGTGTCGGTCCTTCAGGTAGTTCAGTAAGTCCAGAATCTGGGATTACACTTGCGAATACAAGTGCTTCTACTGCATCGTCCACGCCCCGTGTCTTGCAAAAGCGTGCTACGGTATGTGATGCTCGGACGGCGGGTGTGAGAGTATTCAGTCTATCGTTCTAAACAAAAAACAGCCTGAGTAATAGCAAAGTATTCTTGACATTGACATCAGCACTCACAGATTCCAAATTACAAAGCTTCTGCAGCACACCACTCAATTTCTCCTGCTGCTTCTCCAACTTCCGAATACGTGATGCCAGTTTGCTCGTCTTAGCCTTCTCAGCCTCTAACTGTTTCTCAGCTGTATCTTTCTCTCGATCTCTAGCTGATTTCTCCCGTTTCCCGTCCGTTTTAACCACGTCAGCTTTAGCCTGAGCTTGCGTTTGTTGATGTACACCTTCAGCAGCAACAGCAACATCCGGCACCAAAATAGCTTTCTGCTCAGCCTGCTGCTGCTGCTGCTGATACTCCTGCACATACATCTGCGGTTCCTGCACATACATTTGCGGTCCCGACAGCCCATCACTCCCATTCCCAAACCTCTCATCAATACCATGCGCCCTCACAAGCCCCTTAATCCTCTCAATCTCCTGTCCGCGACTATCCATACTCGCGTCAAACCACCCGTCTCGCCTTTTGACCTTCTTCTTGGTACTCGCAGAAGGTATACCAGTCTTTACAGGTGGCAGCACAGATGTATCGCTCAATTCATATGTAGCCTTCCGATCTGCGTACCGCGCAGAGTATGAGTCCACATACTGTTTTGCGGGCTGGTTGCGTGGAGCTGGTTGGAAGACAGGTTCGTATTGCGCTAGATATGACAGTGCAGGTTGTGTGCGATTAATTCCTAATGTTGGCTGGTGCTGGTGCAGTCGGAGATCTTCTCGTGATGCGGAGATGGGTGGGAGGATGTTGTAGTGCTGTTGCTTTTGCTGGTGTGTGTACATTGGCTGTTCATATTGCTGTTGCCAGTGTCTTGATCCTCCATAATCCATCGTTTTGGGAAAACAGGTTTTTTTGCAACAATTGTGCGGTTCGAGGCCTAGATGACGGTGGGATCAGTTACATACGGCATATGAATATTGAATATGGGGCACCCTACACTTGCCGAAAGTTACATCAAGCTGGAACGATCATGTCTTTCGAAAAATGAAAAGTTGTCCAGTCCCCTGATTTTTGAAACAACAAATAGAGGAAGGACAGAGAAGACGTCAGAGCTGATCTGCGCTGGTCTAAAGTATACAAGATGCGTGGCGCGAGACAAGTTCTTTAAGATCGCTTTCTGCCAGCCAAAAAAAGGCAACTCAGACAGAGGTAGATATGTATATTAACGGTACAGCTTGCAAATGCTCTCTGGGAGGTATACGCAAGAATACTTAAAAAGTAAAAAGTAACTTATAAAGCCGGTATATCACAAAAATTACTAGATCTTCAAACTAACAAGTACCCTCCCTTTTTCTCTCCCCATTTCAAGATGAACCCCCCTTAGCCATCTGCTTCCTCCTTTGCGCAATAACCTGTTCTCGATACATTTCCAAATCACTATTCCTGATACTCCCAACTCCAGTTCGTACCAGTTTCGCTTTATTCGAACCGGTACTTATACTACTGGCATCTGTTGAAGCCCGTGTTCTCTGTTGGGGTTGTAACGATTGGTCTACTACGTCTGAATCCGAGGGGCGTGGTGAGGATGATGATATGCGACCTGATGAGGATCCGGATGATATTGAGGATGACATGTTTCCGTTTGCCATGTTTGTTGGTGATGAGGTTGATTTTGTGGAGAAGCGTGATTTGAAGCAAATCTAGAAAAGACGAATATATTATGACTTTGTTTCTTTTTTGTTCTTTCAGAACTTGGCGAGTTCGAACTTACCTCCATCAAGTTTTCACAATCATACATGAACTTGCCCATATCCTGTTTATGTTCAAATGTGTCAAAAGAGTTTAATTGAAACATTGCTGCTTCAGCAAAATATCCTTTTTGCTCTGCATATTGCAACTCACCTTCACAAACCGCCATGCTTCCATTGGATCTTCAATCTTTGTCAAGTCATCGCCGTGAATCTTGAGCAAAGTCAGTGTGACTCGCATCAAATTCTTTTCACCTTGACTGTGAGAGGGTGAAAGATGGGTCGAGTCAGAATTCCCATTTTTGGAATTGAAGAATGTACGCAATGACTTACTAGAAGAACATGTCCCATATACGCATCAGCGTCTAAACAAGAGATTGATAATTGTTAACAAAGAGAATCCGGCGAGAACGAAAACAAAACATAGATTCATGGATAATAAACACCAACCGGCAACAATTATTTACCTCTGTAGGGACCACATTCACAAAAATAGTCAAAAACCACTGCGTAGTAACCATACTCAGCGGTGGCATCTTTATCGGCTCATGTCCTCCATTTTGCTGTAAAGAGCGTGCAGCCTTCCTCAGACCACTCTTTGACGACACGCCATTCTTTTCCATATTCCCTATAAATTTAGCTACTTTACCAACCCCATACCTCCTACCGCCCTTCCCCATTATAGACTGCCATAATATATCCTGTTCAATCTGTACACCTTCTAAATTAGATCCATACATTTCAGGAGGTAGGAGGTCGTCCACAGCAGCGGCTAGTATCCAAAATGCTCGTGTTTCCACCTCACGTTGAGATGTTACGGGGCTCCATGTGAATCCCGGATCTATTGCTGGTTGCTGTAGTATGGATGGCGAGCCTACTTCGAGTGGTTGGCCATCGGCTATTCCGAGGAGGAGCATGCCGACGACAAAGTTTAGGGACTGGCAATACCCGACGTTATATTTCGAGTGTTTGAGTTTCAATTTTGGGTCTGGATGTGGCCATGAATAGTATGCGAATGCAACGAGGACTCGGCGCATGGATTCGAGATACGGCGTTGGGGATGATGAGTTTGGTTTAAATAGGTTGTTGAAGATTCCTTTTGGTGATGGAGGCATTCTAAAGTGTACGTTTTCTGGGAATGTCCGTAGCAGATCTAGCGAGTGATTTGTTAAGACATTGTAACAATATAGCATCTATAGCACCTGGTTTTTTAGTCCATTACACATACCTCTGTCAACAATGTCAATATGTTCGATAATCTTGTTGACTTCTTTGGTATGACCAGCAGCCAAATCTAGAGTTTCCTGAGCACATAGTTGTGCATATAGACTTGGATACTGACGTCTTTTTATATCTGCTCCACTATAATGGTACCAACACTAGATGCGGATGACGTGTTAGATGCATGTAAAAGTCCTCCAAATCAACTCAAAGTACCTGTCCTCGAATGGCCCGCGGTATCCCGAGACGAACAAGTCGTTTCACTATTGGGTATAGAGGTCAGCACATATAACACGTGGGTCTGTTAAACTCGGCACTAACGTTTGTTGTCCTTTGCTGGTAGCTTGACTGCCCCATCCTTGGCAGTAAGAAAAGCCCTCCAATCCTTCTCTCTAAGCAGCAAGAGCTTTTCGTACTTGAGATCAAAAGCGCTCTGGGTGTCTTTATTTATAGCATCAAATGTCTTTTTGAACCCATATCTGTCTCGTTCAACGGTAGATTCGTCTACAAGTGAGGCTACATAACCAGCATCAATAGATACGTATTCTTCTTCGGGGGGTACTGATATTTCAGTCATGTCTTCTTCCTCCTCAATGTTGATCTCGTTTGTTGCATCGACCTGTTGCCATTCCTGTAAATCCTTCTCATTAGGCCTTCCATTGTCTGGTTTGTGTATGCGTCTCCATTCTCCGACACCGCCACTGCTGGACGATGAGGATGAGGCTCGGGGTTCACTGACTTCACTCATCGGTGATATAGTGGGTGTGTCTTCTTGCAAGCGTTTTGTTGTGTTTGAAGTGGGCCAACGTGCAAACCAATTGGATGTCTAAGACAACTAGGAACGATTAGATTAAGGGCTATACCTCTGCGTGTCAATTCATCGAATTCTGTACTTGCCTTGTAGCAATTGCTGTGTGATTACGGCAGGTGTAGAACCTTGAAACGTCAAATCATTTTGAACTGTGAACCTTGTTTCTGGTATCTGGAACCAAGAGTTATGACTACGACAACGTGTATATTATCACAAAACACGTAAATACCTCGTTATCTCGACGTGACTTGGTTGTCTTTGATGTTTAATAAACTCGCAAACATTCCCAATTTGGTGCAGCTCAAAACGCAAGATGGAACCTAGGACGTTGGACTTGTTGCAATTTGTAAAGGAGAGGCCGACTGAAAAGCCATTGTACATTTGTGCCCCGATGGTGCGGTATAGCAAACAGCCCTTTCGAGAGCTTGTTCGAAGGTAAATTTAAGCTTTTCGAAGAAAACATCATCTTACCACTAGTTCTTTCGCATTCCTATATATGATACCTACCTTTTACGATATTCAACCATAGTTATGGCGTCGACATTGCTTATACGCCAATGATGCTCGCCGATGTGTTCGCCAGATCAGAGTTCGCCAGACTGTCTGACTTTACAACCAATAACAAGGATTCGCCCGTTGTGGTGCAGTTTGCTGCCAAGGATCCTGCTGATCTAGCGGCTGCTGCTTCGCTGGTTGCTCCTTATGTCGATGGGATTGATCTGAATTGTAAGTGCTGAGGTGTCAAAAGAGCTGTTGGGCGTTCGCTGTCGCAGAGTGGCAGTGTGCTCGCTTCCTGAGAGTAGCTAGCTTTCAAAGTGGGCCGGCTGCAATGTGATTGAACGAAGACTCGTCAACGACTTGTGAGGCCACGAACGCAATGTGATGCACAGGAAGCCCGTTGCGTCCCGTCCAAATCTAACGCCAACTCTCGTAAAATCCATATAGGTGGATGCCCACAGAAATGGGCAATTGCCGAGAAAATCGGAAGCTACTTGATGGAGAAGCCTGACATTGTTCGAGATCTTATACGATCTGTGAAGAATCTGCCTCTCAACAAACCAATACCAATGTCTATTAAGATTCGGTGTCATCCTGATTTGAAGCAGACTGTAGAGTTTGTCAAGAGGGCTGAACAGGCTGGTGTTGATTGGATTACTATTGTAAGTATTGGAATCGATTCAAGATCTGCAAAGAGCCAGTTTACCATAAGCAATAACGCGTCTCCTTTTTGCCTGTAGCATGGACGTACCAAGAAGCAAAAAAGTAGTGAGCCAGTCAATATGGAAGCAATCAAACTGGTACGACTCGTCAGCAGTTTGCCCATTCTTTGTATTTTTTTTTTTTGCGCTGACAAGGGCGTTACTCCTGGTGAAAGCTTCCTCAACAAGTACCCTCTCCCACATAGGCAAAGGAAAACGCCACAGTCCCCGTCTTCGCCAACGGAGACATCTTCTCCCTATCAGACGCTGATGAAATGGTCGCCCTGACAAAAGTAAACGGCGTGATGGCAGCCAGAGGTCTCCTCGAAAACCCCGCGTTATTCGCTGGCTACGAAACAACACCATACGAATGTCTCGAAAAATTCGTCGACCTGTCTCTCAAATACGGCACAAACAGTTTCATCTTCCACAATCATGTTAAATTCATGCTGGATCGAATAACTAGTAGACAGGAAAAGAAGAGTTTGAATTATTTGAGCTCCACACCTGCTGTGCTGGATTGGCTTGATGATCAGTATGGGTTGAGGTTTAAGGCTGGTCGGACGAGTATATTGACTTGATGGGTGTTGATATGTACTGTAGAGCTTGTGCATGGTGCATTGTAAATAATCCACTGCTTAATATATTGATGGAGAGAGCATCGGTGTAAAACAGGCTTATTTTCCGTCTAACACGTGCGGTTCAACCCAACACCATTGGATTTCCTTGGTGCGACGGGCTTTACGATAAAGCTCAAAACATTTTCAAAAGGTTTAAAACACTAACATTTACCGTATAGATCACTCATAAAATAATTCAATATGGTCTTATCAGGAATGGTTCCAGACTCTCCAAGCTCTGAACGTGGGATGCAGGCTCATGTCTTTGGCAGTAAATGGTCGCGACAAGCCATTCCAAAGTATGAGCTTCCAGCGGTATGTGCTAATGGAAATGATTGATAATGTCAATTTTTGTTAATGGAATGCTATATTCAGCTGTATTTGCCCTTCTTGAACCGTTTACGTCAACATGTTTGAGACCCCGACATTTGGACAAACATCTTGACGTTTGGGATGGTGGTGTTTTTGTTGTTTCGTAAGACGATTAATGGTGGATTTTATGACATTAATCCTAATGCAATCTCATGGAAGCTATTCCAGACCTTCCAGCTCTCATGCATCATGAAAGCTCAACCCAACACTGCCTCCTTTGATCTAAGTCACAAATCCCTGACCTTGTTACTTTTCAATGGTTTAGGAGGAAATGCCTCCGTCAACTGCATATCAACTCATCAAGGATGAGCTCGAACTTGATGGTCGACCTGCTCTCAACTTGGCAAGCTTTGTCACGACCTATATGGAACCTGAGGCTGAGAAGCTCATGACAGAGTCTTTAAACAAGGTGATTGTCATCATCTTGTTGTTTTCTTCCTATCTGCTGATGATGTCATATCCGCCTTCTCAATTCCTTTTTTGCTTGCTAGAACATCAGTACGTGGCAAATCACTTCGCCATAAGCTTGGGGTCCGTTTTCATAACTCTGTTTTCACTCTTGAACAGTCAACTATGAAGAATATCCAATCACTGTTGAGCTTCAAAACCGTTGCGTCAATATGTTGGGTCGACTCGTAAGTTAATTCATCAGCAACAAATAGTCTGTTTTTTGCTCTGTTTGTTGTCATCCACAAGACGACATGGGAGTGAAAGCTTCTCTCCATTTTATATCTTCTCAATTCCCAATACACATTTTATAGTTCCATGCTCCTCTCAGTGCAGATGAAGCAGCTCTCGGTGTCTCAACTGTTGGATCCAGTGAAGGCAAGTCAATACTTTTGAATTACATCTTGGATGCAGAATTTACAATGATACTTCTTCTTCGACTCTTAGCCATCATCTTGAGTACTTTGGCTATGAAGCGACGCTGGCAATTACGTCGTGAAAAAGAAGGAAAATCAAAAGAAAAGCCAAATCTTGTCATGGTATCCGCCATTCTTCGGTCATCTTTTTTTTGATCGTCATTGGGTCAACAACGCTCTCAACATACCGTTCTTCTCCACTAGGGCGCAAACGTCCAAGTATGTTGGGAAAAAGCCGTCCGATACCTTGAAATCGAAGCTCGTTACGTATTCTGCACTGAAGACCAAATGTTCATGGATCCAAAACAAGCTGCTGCTATGGTAGACGAGAATACTATTGGTACTGTGGCAATCTTGGGATCAACATACACCGGTCATTATGAAGACGTCAAGACTTTGAATGACTTGTTGGTTGAGATCAATAAGAAGACCGGGTGGAATGTTCCTATTCACGTTGGTATGATATCAAATCTCGATCACGTTGTTTGCTTCCTTGAACCGGATCGAAGAGTACCCACAAGTCCTGCTCTAACTCTTTATCCGACGGTGTTTTAGATGCAGCGTCAGGTGGTTTCGTGGCACCCTTCTTGGCTCCAGACTTGGTTTGGGATTTCCGATTGCCTTGTGTCGCAAGGTAAAATAACTGCTGCTATGTCTGACGTAGTCAATTGAGTCAACTCATACCAATCCCATGAATTAGCATCAACACTTCTGGCCACAAATACGGACTTGTATATCCAGTAAGTGCGATGTGTATGGAATCGATTCTTCTACTCTTGATGTCATGTTTTTTTTGTAATAGGGAGTTGGATGGTGCATCTGGAGGTCCAAGGATTTCTTACCTGATGATCTCGTCTTCCACGTCAATTATCTTGGAGCAGACCAAGCTTCCTTCACTCTGAATTTCAGCAAAGGGTCATCTCAAGTTATTGCTCAATACTATGTAAGTGTGAAAACATCGTTGACCTGCATACCAAGCTAATATTTTGCATTGTCTCGCTTTCGTCTTGCTGTAGGTGATGATTCGATTGGGAATGAATGGATTCAAATCCATCATGGAAAATTTACAAGAAACGAGTGTACGTGTGAATCATTGCCATCACCCATTATCAGATTGAACCCTTTTTTTGGCTATCAGTAATATCAACTTTCCCATCTTAAACTTCAGATCTTCTTATCCCACCAAATCAAATCAATGGGTTTCGAGATCATGTCTTCTGAAGATCCTTCCAAGGGACTCCCACTTGTTGCGTTCAAACTACCAAAGGACGCAAGTCGACACTTTGATGAGTTTGATGTTGCTGGAAGGCTTCGTGAGAAAGGTGAGTGTGTTTGCGAGCTGGATTGACTGTCTTCCGATGTGCTTGTATCCTTGCTTTTATAATGATTGGACGTTGTGCAAAAAATTGATTTCATGCTGCTTTATAGGTTGGATTGTCCCAGCAGTGAGTGCTTCTACGAAGCCTATCTTTTGAGCTTTGAACTTAACCATTATCTCATTGGAAATCATTAGTACACTCTTGCAGTAAGTGTTTCTGAATGCTGTCAGTTTCCAGGTCGGCTATGTTTAACACTGGTCTCTCTCTTTGTAGCCTCATGCAGACAAAAGTAAACTATTACGTGTTGTCATTCGTGAAGACTTCTCCTACAATCGAGCAGAGCTCTTGTTGGCAGTAAGATTCATTGATTATGGCCCTCTTGGAATGCTTTGTTTTCCCCTCTCGACGCAACCAACTCATCAAAATTTTCCGTGAAATTTTAGGACCTGCAAATGACTTTGGACTTCTTGAAGAAACAAGATGCCAAATCTATGGAAGCTAGGTAACTTTTCATATGCTTTAAAGGCTCAATTCTATGGCAAAAAAAACACAATACTAATATGGCTTGATGTGTAGGCGTGAAGCACACAAACAATATGGCGCTGCTCACAAACATCACAAGCATCATGGTCTCGCAGTCGCAATCCCAGAAGCTCCACTCAAAAGTATTCATAATACCTCTCCTGTCGCTGCTGTTACAACAGTCAAACCCGCTTCTTCTCCAACGGTTACGAAACCTCCTACACCAGCTGCTACACCAAAAGCTGCTGCTCCGACTCCTGCTGCTGTGAAGGCTCCAACACCTGTCGCTACATCTGCCGCAACTCCTGTTGCTGCGAAGGCTCCAGCTGCTGTGAAAGTTGCTGCTCCTGCTCCATTTGCTGCAGCCAAAGTAGTGACTCCACCTGCATCACGTCCCTTGTCCCCCACAGTATCAAGCAAGGATGCATGGGACAAGGCTTCTGCAAACGATGTTATGGCATCAGTGAGCAAAGACACTTCTTTGCATTTCTCTTAAATGAAACTAACACGTCGTTTCTATAGGTCATTGCATTGAAAACCAATGGGCAAGTCCATTCATAGTACCTCTGCTGGCCTTTTTTGCTGACTTGTTTCATTTTCATTTTTTAGGCCATGTTGAGTCCAAAAAGGAATCCCATGCTGAAAAAGTATCAACTCATATAGATTTCCAGAAAAAGATATCTCATTGTATCCGTTTTTTGGATGGTGTATACCCCCAAATGAAAAAATGACCTTCAAAATTTCGCTTCTCGAAGTGTGAATGTGTGTGTCGTCGAGTTTGCACGTTCAGGCAATTACAACCAACCGTATATCGAGACATATTAGGAGCCTGAAATACTGGTAGCCAGTGGGGTCGCTTTTCTTAGGGCTCATTGATGTGTATGACATTGCGAATTTTGTGCTCTTCAATTGCCTTGCTTTACTGAACTTGCCTACGAATTGTTGCTCCAATCTCTTTTGGCTTGCCACCACATTCATTGGCCATGATGCCATGATCCAACGCACCAACAGACTCTTTTCTGAAAGCCTCATGAACATTCTCTCTGGAACCAAACTACAGATGCCTTTGTGCGAGGAAATGACGCTCTGGATATCAATGTTCACCGTGCTCTACAATTCTTATTGGATACTACTTGTGACACTTTTGGGTGTGATCCTATTGGCGCCAGGCAATGGGACATGTTGATGAGCACTAACTGCCGTCGAGTCCGGTAAGTTGAGATCTTGAAAGAAAAGCATTTATTCAAGTACTGATCCTTATCTGTTCTTTTGGCATCTTAGATATCTCAGTCGCCAGCAAGCGTTGATACTTACGCCACTCTACCTGTACAGCTTCTCGAGCCTAGGCCTGCTAGTTTAGGCATCTTGATTCGCAACAGATACATGTATTTTGCTGATGAGGTACAACAGGCTATACAATGTCTCAACGCACCCGAAAACCCCCTTGCAAGATGGAGTGATATGTATCAAGAACCTGTACAAGTGATGCTGCTTAACTTAAACAATGGATTTGGCCAGCACGATTGGGACTTCTCAAACGTCGCACTGAGTATGTAGTAGATGAACTTGGAGCAAGCACATACTATGGTGTCGAAACTCTCCCTTCGATTTCCCGTCTTCTGGACACAGCCCTCGAAAATACGGAGCGATGGGTTGCGGTCGTGAAAACGATTGACGAAGGAACTGAAAGCTGCTAGGAAGCAACGACTCCCTTGGCTGACTGCTTTGTATACAAAACGAGATTGCTAGTGCTGCGAGGTATTTGGTACACACAATAGAGTCATTGCAACCATCGTCAAGTTATCTTTTGCCCTATTTTTCTATTTACGACATGTTATCAGAGCCAGGACGCGAAGACCCGGATTTTCGTACAGGGAGGTTTGGCTGCTGGTCAAATACGAATTTACTACTGATTATCGAGTTTGGATGATTGGAATGTTTCTACTTCAATCTACGGGTGTACCCGCTAGGCTTACGGTCAGTGGCGTAAAGAGTGGTGGCAAGTAAATCAACTCAAAAAGGCTGACTTTTTGTGTCAAGTGTAGTCGAATTTTCACATAGACGTGAAGTCTAGTCTCGACGTTTTAGATTCTCTGACCTTCAGGTGGGAGCTCAGCCCAGTTTTAAAGCTTCAGATTTAAGTTCGAAAAAGTCAAACCTCCGCAAATGCATGTTATCCCCTATCGAAACTTTGGTTTGGACGCAAATGCAAAAGGAGTCTATAAAACCCTTTCACGCACTACGTCGTACCTCGATTCTGTATAAATAGCATTTTAATTCTCATATCTGACTCTTCAAAAGAGCTTATATGACCGGCCTAACGCCATTGAGTCTGTCTTTCCTTCGTCCTAGAATGCGACTACAACTTGCTTTTTGAGAGGGTTTCCAAGGAACTCATAATACCAAAAATATTAGCAAATATTTATGAAAGCATTTTCCCTGCGCTTTACTTGTATCCTAGTTCATCGGGTACTTGTGTTGACATCGTACCTTTTTCAGATAACATATTTCTTTTCCACCCGAGTAAGGGACCCTGTCACGCAGCACTATTTCGTTTACAATCTTTGTTGAATCCGGGTCGCATAGCTCCTAATCACCGGTGTTCACGCTGGGTCGCTTTTCTCGGTTGAAAAAATGGAGGACGGTAGTGAAGAGAGGGGTGGGCGATGGGCTATGCGTCGCTGGTTCACTTCCCAATCCTTTTGATACTTTTGGTAGTGCATAAAACGAAGGCATGTGTTTAAATAATAACGTCTCTACAACCATCTATAAAAGCGGCTGTCCCCACACAACGACAGCGTCTCTCCCCAAAATGTATCAAACCACAAAGATCAACTATCAATCCACCAAACACTAAGCATCTCTTTTCAATCCAAGTGCATAAAACGAGACATTCGAGTAGCCAAAGCAGTCATCACAGCTTTAGTCGAAGCAGTGATAGACATGGGTTCATCCTTGCTTGTAGTTGCGAATTGAGAGATATCGGTACGAGTAATAACACGTTTGAAGAATGGATCTTCCAAGAGTTCTTGAGCAGATCCATAGTTGGGGATACGGTTGATGAAGAGTTCAAGAGTACGCCGGTTGCGACCGACACTTAGTGGGACGCCACGTTGTTTAGCGAATGGCTTGTACTTCCATACAAGGAGTTTGTCGACGAGGTACCAGATCCACTGTTATGGGAAAAGGATGGAGTCACTTTCAAAACGTTAGAAAAACGTTGAAACAAAAAAACCTTCTGGCAAGCATCATCACAAGTCCAAACAACTTTAGTGTGGAACAACTTACAAAGATATTGGTCTTGGGAGTAAACTTGAGCCAGTCTCCACCATTCTCAGAGCGCATCAAGCGGTAGATTTCAAATTGGAAGTCACCTAAAATGAAGAGTCGAACGTCAGAATGCTGTCGTACTCATCATGGAACAGGGTTTTGCTACTCTATAGCTGACGTACCATAACCAGTAAAGAATACTTCATCAGTCAAAGGAACAGCACATAGCTGAGAAAAGTCACCATTAATTTCAAGACCTACGCATATTCGAGGAAGTATCCGTTTAAGCATGACAGTTCCCAAAAGACACGAACACAACCTGAACTTACGAGACAGAGTATAATCAATGATGGTGGTGTGCATGCCGCCAGTTTTGACATCATATACGGTGTTGCAGTCAGAAGTTACAAGACGACGTGTCTTTTCATTCTTGTCAATCTTGGCCATCATGTTACCCCAATGAAGATCTCGGTGCTCAAACTTGCAGGATTGTTCGGCAATAGCCTAGTGTTGTTGTGAGACGAACGTCAGGATTTAGTCATCGAGAGTGTGAAGAGGTCAACGCCATGCCGTATTTTTTCTCGTACCAGAGAGAGTACGATTTGGCCAATGACACCACAAGTTTGAGTCCAGGTGAGTTGAGGACCTTCAGCGAGATTGAGTCCGGCGTGTTCAAGTACGAGAACTGCATACTTTTGAGTCTTGACTTGTGCAGCAGCTGATTGAGCTTTCTTGCCACGACGTCGTGAATATTTCTCTACGGCTTCAATGAGTTGAGGAGGATAAGCGCCACGTACAACTCCCATTCTATCATAAAAAGGAGTCCGTCAGTCATCTGAGCGCTTTGATCCTGGTTCACCACGAGGAACACAAAAAATACACACGCATGATATCACCAAATGACTTACTTCAAGACACGAACAAATCCAGCTCCGTATTCAGAGGCAATATCAGACATTTCACCAGTGATACGAAGTTCTTGATACATCTCGCTAAGCGTTTGCTGCGACTCGCCGCCGAAGGGCACGATCTTAACAGCAGCAGTGGGAGGAATAGCACGAGAGCTGAAGCCTAGAACAAACAGCACAAAACGGTTAGTTCAGTAATTCTGAAACTGGCACAACATCTCTGAGGCTTACTCTTGATGTTAGACAAGACTGTAGCATTAACCAAGGGAATTTGAAAGACTTGCGAGAACGTGGCTTCTCCAATCTTTTCAATCTTGTCAAGTGCACTAAAAGAAGGAGAATCATCAGCAATAGGTCTGACGTACAACACACTCCGACACAACTTACGGAGCACCAAGGAAAGATTCAAAGGTTTCGAAGCGAGCTTGGGAGCAAAGACGGAGCAAGTCAGTGAGATTCACTGGTCGAAGCTTTAGTTGTTCTTCTTCCCCAACAGGTTCGTCAACATCAATATCAGGAAGACTGTACGTTGAGTAGTGCTTTGAGGCCAATTTCTGAGCAAGCGTTTGAAGCTTCTCGGAATCAGCTGCAGCCATGACCACATCCTCATGTACATTCAGACGTCCTTTTGGAATTCGTGGTTGAGGTTGTGCCATGGTTGCTTCTTATTCTGATCTTGATGGTAGTTGTAGTGGTGTAGGGTGTAGTGTCGCGGTAGTATTTGTACTTTCTCTTCTTATTATAAAAGAAAAGAATCTTATTTTTTGAATGTTGAGAAAGGTGTTGTTCGATGTTTGATGTTTTGAAAATCCCAAAATCGCCAAACAGGTGTGTCAAGTTGTGCGGCACACATTGGGAAGACAGAGGTGTCCACACATCGTATGAGTTCCGCGAAATACCATGTTGAGCCCGTTGCGGTTTTCTAACATGCTTTGTACCATTAGCTGACATTCAATTCGAAAAACCACAACGATGCCGATTTCAAACAGTCCTCTGAGCGTTGAAGCTCAAGCCATATGCAATAAGATACCTTTTGCTATTACAGATTCACATCACCACCTGGTAGGCCAGCGACCGATAGTGAAAATCGACGGGACAGTTGTATTTGTACATTTCGTGGAACTGAGTTTGCCTTTTGGATATTTAGTGGGACGTGGCCAACACGTACAGAGGACAAAAGATCTTTCTGGATTTGGGAATACTTGACAATTTGCCAAAGCTTGGATATCCAGCCCTAGTCAATCCACCAAAGAAGAATGCTCAAACGTTAGCTCGTGAACGTGGAACAAAACTACCCTCGTGGCCTATTGAAAAGACCAAGGCGGTTCTCTCTGTATGTGTTCGCTTTGCCCACTTTAGTGCTACAGCTGCGGATGAACCTCAACGCTCACATTTTTACAGAGAAGAAACGAAGAATATGGCAACTTTCAGCACATGTGGTCTGACTACCTTCCTTCCGACATCATGAAGGACTACGCACACGCTCACGTCAACGTTGCCGCCACGGTACACGTAGAGGCTGGTTGGGACGAGCCCAAAGTTGGTAACGTTGGTGAAACAAACTGGGTATATCAACAGGCCCAGGAAACTGGCAATGTCGTTGGGGCTGCAATTGTAGGACACACTGACTTTGTTAGCAGAACTTACGAGGAATGTGAAGCCGAGCTTATTAAACATAAACAGTGTCCTAACTTTGTCGGTATCCGATGTATGGCCTCATTCGATACTACTAAGCGATTTAGCTCTGGAGCACCTCGACAACACGTATTGACAGAGGCCAACTTTTTAAAAAACTTTACGCTCTTGAAGAAGCATGGACTCTCCTTTGATTTGTATTGCTACTCATACCAGCTGAAGGAATCCATTAACCTGGCTAAACGATTCCCGGACACGCCTATTGGTAACAATCTTTGTCGCTCTTTAGCAACTCGAAACCAAGCGCTTACACGTTGTCATCTTCTCCAGCCCTAGACCACATGGCTACTCCCATTGACTATGTTTCGAAGCCAGAAGTGCGCAAGGAATGGCTTGAAGGAATGACCGAGCTCGCCAAGTGCAAAAACGTGCACGCTAAGCTATCTGGGTTGATGCCACAGCTAGGAACACAATATCAATATCGAACATGGGATTCGTATGGACCTACAGCCGTCGAAATCGCCGATGGTGCTTTCGGAGAGATGCTGATGCACACAATTCGACTCTTTGGACCCGAGCGGTATGTTTAGCTCCACAGTTTGATCGCTTGGTTTGATCGGTGACTGCAAGACGCGAGAGTCTATCATTTTGTCGCTAGAGCTACAGGAAGCTTGAACACACTCAGTCTGACTTCTAAACTTCATCTTGTAGTGTCTTCTATGGATCAAACTTTCCCGTGGATAAGAATCTAGCTCGAATGGGCGAGCTTGTAGCTGGAATCTGGATATGCTGTGAACGATCTGGCATGAATGCGTCTCAGCTTAAGGGTGTGTTCCGTGACAATGCTGCTAAATTCTACAAGATCTCTTTGCCAGCAAGCAAATTGTAATAGATATTCTAAATAAGGACGCGAATTTGGAATAATTGGCGCGAATTCTATAACATTTGGTTTGATTTGACGCCAACTCGTTATGAGACAAAAATTCGCAACTGCCTTTCTGAGCGAGACTCGTTGAAACGCGTTTTCCAAGCACGTACGTTTCTATAAACCGTTGTGCATATTTAGTCGGCTCTAGCTGAAGACAGTAGTCCTCTCGGACAATTTTCAACGCAAGTTCGCTTGATTCAAGTAACCAAACCAAGCAAAAAACCTTCAGCACTAAGAGCAGACTGGAAGAGGAAGGGAGAAGATATATAAGGAACCATTAGCGAAGGTAAGCACACTACAGAAGAAGATTCTTTATTCAAAATATGAGTCCGACGCTAGTTTTGCCTCAGCAATCCTGCAGTTTCAAAAACTCACAAACCGCTTTTAAACAATAGTGGGGCAATACCCAAATAGAGTAGAGCAGGCAATCCACGTCATAATCTTATAGCAAAGGTAAGCATTTTCATAGTCTATTGGGCCCCGCCACCAACTACGAGGACACGAATTTGAGGAGTGCGGTTCTATATTGGTGGCACTGGTTACTTGGTAGAGCCTCAGCAGAAAACCCACCCCAGTCAACTTGAAATCCTCGCTCTAAACTCTATTGCTCACTCATTATATTTCAACTATACTCACATATTTCTCTCTTCTATCATCCCCACCACAAACAGTCACATTTTCAAATTGGTAGGTCGTTGTGAGCATCAACGTCATCGCGGAGTGCAGAGAGGAAGCGCCATGAGAGCACACGGGCGTGTAGCATACGCTGCATGAGTTCCTACTTGGAACTTCACTCTTCTTGAAGCAACGGAACCCGACTCCACATGGTCAGACCACATTTTAGCTTGAACTGAATCTCTCTCCTCTTTTAGTGTTAAGAGTCTCAGCTCGTCACATATAGAAATCACCTCGTCTTTTGTCTCGTTGCACATGTCCCGTGCCAAAGAAGGAGAACCTGCAGACGGTCAACCTACCAACAACACTACGACTACCACCACCACTCAACCTACAGCAACCGCCGACCCTCGATTGAGTGAAACCAAGGGCCCGCAATATATATATACAGGTGCCGGTATCATCCTTAATCCCATGGCTACCTCGCCAACAGCAGCAAATGGCGTCGCAGTCTCTGGAATGACTTCTCAACGTGATTCATTGACTGCCGCTCAACAACAAACTATGGATGCCAATACCTCGGGCCGTCAACCGCGAGCTGCTGATGGACAACCTGTTTCTTCTCCACAAGCTACTCCAGCTGCTAGTTCAGCCAAGTTGCATCATGGATCAGCATCAAATCAGAATATCGTTGGTGTACATTACAAGGTCGGGAAGAAGATTGGAGAAGGCAGTTTTGGTATTATTTATGAAGGTATGTAGTGTTTGCTTGATGGACAGCAAAAAAAGGAGCTCATCCGTATGCTACACAATATCTGAGCACTCTCACTTGAATAGGTGTAAATCTCATGAACAATCAACCTATTGCTGTCAAATTCGAACCTCGAAAGAGTGATGCTCCTCAATTACGTGATGAATATAGAACATACAAGATTCTCTCTGGCAGTGGTGTGTCCTTACTATGCGGGCATCATATGCTGGTATTTTGCTGATTCCTTCTGTCTTTCTTCAATTTCTAGTTGGTATCCCGAACGTTTACTACTTTGGACAAGAAGGTCTACACAACGTTCTGTGTATAGACTTGCTTGGTCCAAGTTTGGAGGATATGTTTGATTTGTGTAATAGGAAGTTCAGCTTGAAGACAGTATGCATGGCAGCGAAACAGATGGTAGGTTGCCCGCACTTCTTTTGAACGTCAGCCTTCCAGTTGTCAATCTGCAAGAACGCAATTGACCAAAGTCCTTCATTGCCTTTTTTTTAGCTATCAAGGGTGCAAACAATCCATGAAAAGAATCTTATATATCGAGATATTAAACCTGATAACTTCTTAATTGGTCGATTGCCAAGGCACAACGAGGCTCCTCTTGTCATTGGCCAAGACCCAGTAATGATTCTACCAAACCACACCGCTGCCCACCCTCATCCAGCCTCCATAGTATATATAGTTGACTTTGGTATGGCAAAACAGTACAGGGATCCCAAAACCAAACAACACATTCCATATCGAGAAAAGAAGTCTCTTTCTGGAACTGCCCGATATATGAGTATAAATACGCACTTGGGCCGAGAACAATCCCGTAGAGACGACTTAGAGGCTTTGGGTCACGTATTCATGTACTTTTTGAGAGGATCATTACCGTGGCAAGGTCTCAAGGCAGCCACCAACAAGCAAAAGTATGAAAAGATTGGAGAGAAGAAGCAGAGTGTCAGTGTTAAGGAATTGTGTGAAAATTTCCCTGGTAAGTTTGACGCCTTGCTTGCGTATAGATTATGTGTTTGCTCTGCTGACATTTAGAAGAATTCGAGTACTAACTTTCTTTTTCGCTTTCGTCTTTGTAGAAGAATTTGCGTTGTACCTTACATATGTCCGCAACCTCAAATTCGAAGAAGCACCAGATTACGACTATTTGAAAGGCCTGCTCAACAAAGGTATGTAAAGTACATCCGATTACACACGACTCGTGAATATCATGACCAACCAATATTCGATTTCTTTAGTGTTGACCAAAATAGGAGAGCAAGATGACGGCATCTACGATTGGATGGTGGTAATGGATCAACAAAGGAAGGAGAAGGAACGACAACGAGAAGCTGAACGTGAAGCTCGAGAAAGAGAACGAGCAGAACGTGAACGTGCTTACCGTGCCTTTCAAGCAGCCAATGGCAACAATCCCAATGCAACAGGAGGTCCCATGCCACCATACGGCGTTAGTGCCAGTAGTAATATGGCTATAATATCACCCACCACTGCCCATCCGAACTCATCACCTGTCCCACCAAGCAGTATGCAAGTGTTGACTGGTGGTAAAGGCAACAACACTACTTCAGGACGAGAATCGAGCACTCCAAACAACAACCGAGTATCAGGTGGCGGAACAGCAAACTCACCCATGGTCCATGGTCAATCTGGTCTCCGACAAGAAGCCTCTCAAGTTGGAACGACCGATGCTATACACGCAGATTCCATGCAACGTAAAAACAATGGTAATGGTGAAGCACGACCACCCATGCCAAATAGTAAACCAAGGGTCAGCTCTAATGACGGCAAAAAGAAGAAGTGGTGGAAGAGGCTGTTTTGTGGTGGTGATTCAGAATAGGCCCAAGGTTTCAAAACGATCTCAACTATATTTTGTAGCCATAATGCTTGGAGAATTATTAAAATTGTAGTACTTTTAGACCTCCTTCGTGTTCTTGATGTCGGTGCCTTTGGCTCACGAACTACAATAGCCTTGCATCTTTTCGTTCACAAAACGGAAATATGCAACTTGAAAGTACTGGACGCGTGTTTAAGATCGAAGATGTCGGATCAAGTGGTGTTGCGTAATGATCTACCTGTTTGTCCAAACTTTGTTTTCGTTCCATCCAAGCAATCTAAAGAACCACGACAAAAGCCGAAGAAGTGGGGACGCATGCATAGTTATTAAACATATACATCAATCTAACAAACTCGTATACAGTCTTAGCAACTCGCTCAGCACAAAACCCGGAAACAATGGGATCCATTTTCACGGAGCTTGAACAGCTACCAATTTCTCAGAGCGAGAAGGAGGTGCTTCGAGTCGACAAGGATTCTGCATTTAAAAGATTCGGTTCATCCAATCTTGAAGGTAGGAGTCTTCCATGGTGTTAGTCGTACCTACGAAATGCATTCGACATTTTGAAGTGTGTGTCTTAAAGCACACTTGCACCTGACTACCGCACTGCATCGGTCATGGCGATCAAAGTGCTAGATCGAATTTCATTGATCTAAGAAATTGCATCTACTTGGCAAACCAATCTAACTGATGAACAACTCATTTGCTCGTGCTAGGAATTGTGCCAGTTCACAAAGACTGGGCCTCTCTAGTAGCCAGGAAATACAACATGAAGACATCAGGCCTGGAACCAAAGAATCTTCTCAAAGCACATCCGAAAAAGGATGTGAAGCCTGCACTAGATGAGATTGTCAAGACAATCACAAGTATTGTGTACTCGAATTATTCGAAAGGGGCTTCGCATGCGACTCAGGATGGTAGATACACGCTATCGGGCGGATCGTCGTTACGTGGGATGCTGAGGTTTGAGACTGATGAGGTCCGTGTAATGAGTGTTTCATCCAGCAGCTTCAAAGAACTCTAATGAAATTACTACTATTTAGTGGGTGAATAAGGCGCCTAAAGATATGGCGCAGTATCATGATCAGTTTGGCAAGATACATACGGTAACAAGACTAGTTTGGTATTGTATCGTAGAGCTTAACTAGAAATTGTAATAATTTAGGATACCTTGCCTGAAATCATTGACATCATGGCACCTGCGTCGAATGACTGTGCTGGTCGTTTAATGCAAGTGCTGACGCCACACAAGAAGGAGTATCGTATAAGTCGACCGCACTATCCTCTGATCACCGAGACTCTGACTGGTGCAATATGTAGTTTGCCGTACAACGAGTCCTCGTCTTTTATGGAATTGTCTATCGACTCATTAAACGAGCTCCTTGTACGCGACTATCATTCTTTTGAAACCAAGCTACTGGAACGTCTCACGCCTGTATGGAATCCCGCTTATAGTGTCGTGGGCCACATAGAAGAGATTTTAGATCAGCGAGATCGTGCAGGTTGGGTGGCATTGAATGAACGTAAAAGGGAGTTTCTGGCCAAACATGGCGAGCCACCTACCTTTGATGATATCTGTATGCCCCAGTACGAAAAGTTTAGAAAGGCAAGGTCGTCGGCATCAAACAGAAAGAACAATAGTCATAATAATAGCAGCCCTTCACCAATCAATGATGGCGATGAAGGAGCCGTGGAAGAGTTGGATGCAATCATGGATGAGTATATATGTCGATACAAAAACTTTGCTGGATTATTTAGAACCAAACTGATTTCCCTGAATGTATCAACTGCTCATCAGCACGTTGAAGCGTACCACCGTAATCTCTCGGCATGTCTAAAAACTGTCCGAGATCGTGTATATGCTCCGACATATTCCGTGCTGCCAGCACCTACCAACGACCCATCATGTTTTCCATCTCTGGAAACCATAAAAGGGCTTATAAATACCGCCGAAACCGACCTACAGACCTTTTCGCAATCTCATCATTTACATATGGAGGCTCAGAGATCGAAAAATGTGGGCGGGTTGGATAATTTAAGTAACTTATTGCATGAAATCAAGGAAATGTATTTGACCGAGTCTGTGAAAACGGTCGAAGGTCGTTTGGAAAGGGTCAAGAGTAAATCCTTTCGTGAGAAACTAAAGTCTATGGAATCTAAAGAATTGCAACGTCGTAATGTCTTGTATGACGAAGTTGGCGATGTGATTTTGGGATTCAAGACTTTGATTTACACTGGTGTAAGTTGTGACGATGCTGATGCAATTTGAAGATCTTCCCTATTTTTTTTCTTTGTTTTTGGTCTCAAACGTTGATTTCGAATATACAGGAATCTGTGCTTCGAGCCTGTTTAGCTGAAGGGATACAGTCTGAACGCCAGACGACGTTTGAGCTGGCTAACGGACTTGAGAGGAAGATTCTGGAGCGTCTGAAGGACCGTCAGAATCTGGGTAGGTGCAGAAAAAGCCAGTTGCCAATTTCTGGATTGCAACATTCTAAGCCTTACATCAAAACGATAGTTGTTCATTATAAAGCCAATTATATCGCTGGTCGACAGGCATTTGCTCGGTGGGTTGCTGGATTGCTGCGTGACGAAGCGACACGCATCGTTCGAACGTACGTAGCTGCACCACCGGTAGTTCTAGTAGATGATCCTAGAGACGATGTGGCCTCCGTAACCAGTGACTTGACTTCTTCTAAAAAGTCGAAAAAGAAGAAGAAAGCCAAGAAACGATCTGAGGACAAAGAGGATGATGATGTCAGTGAGATTGATCTGGAAGAGGTGTCTCACATACCGGAACGATATACTTCTTCTCAGCATCCTGCTAAGTCTCCTGTTGTGGATACTAACTCAAGGTCAACGGATACCTTGAAGCAAACCAAGGACCCGCCATCGTCTAAAGCAGCTAGTAAAGTCGATGCAGCAAGTAGCAAAACTCATAGTAAACCTGATGGTAAGGCCGAGCCATCTGTAAATAATCGCAAAACAAGTGATTCCAAAGTGGCTGAGTCGACCGACAAGGTGGATTTGAATGGTGGTAAACCGACTATGACTAGTTCTGAATTGGCTAATATTGCGGAATTGGCTCAGAAGGCACAAGCTGCTCTGCAAGCGCAGGTGGATAAGGCCGATTCGAAACCTGCTGCTGCTTCTAAAACTTCAAAGGTAGCTCCGTCAAAGGCTGGTGATCCAGTAGAGTCTAAGGCTCAGGCTGTTAAACAAGAAGTGGTGGACGATTCGGCTTCTAATGTGTCTCATAATGACATGAATGGTGGTATAGGTGCTGATGGGAAACGAGCAAAGGCTAATTTGAACCACAGGAAGGCCTCACCTTCCGATTCAAAAGCTACCGAGGCAAGCAGTCCTCCTTCACCACAGAGTAGCTCGACAGTATCGGACGCTACCCGCAGTCCTCCAGTAATCGATATTCCAATCAATAGCAAATCTGCTGAGGCCGAAAAGACACCAGAAAAGCCAGCCACTGTAAAATCAATTCCTGCTACTCAACCGCAGGAATCCACACCATCTCCTCCTGCTCCAGTTGTTGAACCTGCACCACCAGTCAAGAATCAAAAGGATAGAAAGGCTTCATCCCAGCTTCCTGCTTCGTCTCCCATACCACTAGATAGACCAGCTCGTGGTGCACATAAAGTAGCTGAAATGCCTAAAGTCTTTGATAAATCCCGAAGCAACGAACAGAATCAATCATCTGGATCATCCAGGAAGGAGCCAAGAAGGGGCGGTAATCTTAATAATCAGTCACCAGCAACTCATTCTACTTCAGCACCAAATGCATATCAGACTCCCAAATTCACACCACCTCCACCCATGAATTCCAACGAGCAGAATCCACTTCAATCGTATGCAAATCAGTACCCGACCCCATTAAATACTACAAGTCCATCATCGCCGGTGCTTGATACATCTACGACTCCTACACGAGCTTCACCACCATCGTTTACCTTGCCTGATAATGGTCAGAGAAATGGAAGTTCTGCTAGCAATTTGAATGGACAAGCACCACCAGGATTGTATACACCAGCTTCGTCTGCTGCAGAGCAGATACAACGAGATATAAATTCTTATTCTACGCCACATCCGTTGTCAGCAGCAGCCCCACCACCAATGCTTCAACAAATGTTTCAAGCACAGGCAGCATACGCTCAACCACAGCCTGCTGCTCCGTCATTTAATAGTGCTTCTCCATCAAGGGATCAGACGATACAAATAGCTTTATTAATGGGTGAAGTACAGAGGTTGACTTCTTCCCTTCAAGCTAGCACGTCTCAGATTAGCCAAATGGAGGCTCAACGAGTAAAGCTTGAATTGGAAAAGACGTCTCTTGAATCTCGCTGTGCAGCATTAGAACGTGATCGAGTGTACCTGTCACAAGAGTACACGAGGGTTGTTGATGCACATGCTGTACGAGACGCACAACAAGCTCAACGCATAAATGATTTAGAGGCAGAACTGGCTCACCTGCGTATGGAGCATCGCAATGGGAGTGTAAACAGAGTAAACACACCCGATCCTCTAGATCAGGTGTATCGAAGTATGGTGGATAGCACTATCGGTGAAACTTCTCCTGTGCCGCAACAGCAACAGCAACCATCGCCGTTATCTTCTGGTGCTATGAATGGTGTAACCGGTCTAGGAGGATTGTCATCAATCTGGGCAGCCCCTACTACTGCAGCTGGAGCGAGAACGACTCTGCTTGGAGGAAGTCGGAATAGTATTGGTTCTAGTCCAGGAACGACTGGTGGTCTAGCATCCATGAATTCTGTGGGTAATGTTTATGTCGTCTCGTTTTTGTGTTGCGTGGAATTGACGACAGGTTACCAAATTTATAACCATTTTTTAAATCCGCAATAGTACTATCCTAAAGCAGCCACTGTGTGGTGTGCAAACTGCGGATCTCCTGATCATACGTCGCAGAGCTGTAAGCCTCTTATCGACAGTTCTGATGAAAGTTACTAAACCCAACACTATTTTAGGTGCAGCTG